CTTAGCACTTCTTCTGGCTCCGCCTCGTCGCTGCACGCGAGGCCGCTTCCGCCAACAGTGTGCATGTGTGTGTGTGTTGGTGCGTACGTGTGTGCGTGCGTGCGCGTGCACATTTGCGTGTGTGTGTGCGCATGTGTGTGCGTGGAGGGGGGGGATCCGGCGCCGACTGAAGAATCCGCGCAGATGTTCGAGGGCTCGGTTTACGCATGAGTTCTTGGTATAGACTCCCGTCCTCCCGTCGTTGGTCTCTCTGTGCTGCGGGGCCCTCGGCCCCCCTCAGGAGCGACGTCAGGGGAGGAGAGGCTCATGGTGGGGGCGGGGGGGATGCATCGACCCCAATCGCCCCTTGATCTCCGATTGGGGCCCGATGGCCGTAGCCCATCTCGCCCAGGAACGCTCGGATTCGCCATCGGGGGCCTGTCGCCGATCAAATGGCGACGTATCGCCGATTCCAGCTCGATGTGTTTGCCCCTGAGCGGGTCCGCCCTCAGTGTGGAGAAGGGTGCGGCGCCGGTTCAAGAGTCCGCGCGGACTTTCGAGGTTCTATTTACGTGTGCGCTCTTGCTAAAGGCTGAAGGCTCCTGGCCTATGGCCGTGGTTCTCTCTGTGCTGTCGTGCCCTTGGCCCTGCACCGTGGGAGGGTCCGTGCAGCTGGCGTCGGGTCCTTCACGCGTAGAGGTAGATGAGCGAAGGGGGGGTCGAACATGCGTGGGGTACGCATGCATTCAGCGCGTGTTTTACCTTGCGCACGTTCCAGGACTCCATGCTCTGAGCGTGCTCCGCTGCCTGCCGCTTCCCCGCCTCCCGCCCGCGCTCTTCCCGCTCCCAGCTGTGCCCCATCATTATGGTGCCAAGCAGCTGCGACAACAAAAATCAACCACATGTAGGGGCTCCAGGCGCCAAGGGGGATTGTCCAGCGGGGGGGCGTTGAATGCTTCATATTAGAAAATACATCTGGAGAGGAGATGGCGAACATGCCTAGCGCACGCGTGCGTCTGTAAAGTGTTTCATTGTGCGTAGGCGCCATGGGGGTATCCGACATGGTGGTGCCTGATTCTTTATACGTGCCAGTACGTGCGCGGAAGGGCGATGTCGAATATGCGTGTGGCACGCGTGCATTTTGCCAGTGGCTTCACGGGTGTAGGTGCCAAGGGGGAAGGTATCCATCATGGTGTCGGCAAACCATCCAATCATACAGTTCCCTGTTCAGAAGGGGTGGGGGTCGAATCTGCGTTCTCGCGTTCGCACCTCGGGTGCGTGTGCTCGTGCGTGCAGGCGCCAAGAGCAGCCAACGTGGGAAGGCGCCACACTCCTCCAACGATGGGGGGGGCCCACTGTCCACCACCTCCTCCTCCTCCTCCTCCTCCTCCGCCTCCTCCTCCTCCTCCTTCTCCTCCTCCTGGTAGGCAGGAGAGGGAGGAGGAGGAGCCTCCCCCTCCTCCTCCTCCTCCTCCGCCTCCTCCTCCGCCTCCTCCTCCTCCTCCTCCTCCTTCTCCTCCTCCTCCTCCTCGTAGGCAGGAGAGGGAGGAGGAGGAGCCTCCCCCTCCTCCTCCTCCTCCGCCTCCTCCTCCTCCTCCTCCTCCTCCTCCTCCTCCTCCTCCTCGTAGGCAGGAGAGGGAGGAGGAGGAGGTACGGCTGGCGGCCGCTGGGGCGCGGGGGGGCCCTGTCGGCGCGGGGCACGGGCGGCGCGGCCGGAGGGGCCTCCGGGCGCCCTCGAGCCGAGAGGGCCGGCGACAGGGGGAGGAGGAAGGGAAGCAGGAGGAGGAGGAGGAGGAGCAGGAGGAGGAGGAGGAGCAGGAGGAGGAGGAGGAGGAGGAGGAGGAGCAGGAGGAGGAGGAGGAGGAGGAGGAGGAGGAGAGGAGGAGGAGGGAAGGAGGAGGAGGGGGAGGAGGAGGAGGAGGAGGGAAGGAGCAGGAGGGGCAGGAGGAGGAGGAGGAGGAGGAGGACATCCGCATCCAGCGCAAACATCCGTGCGCGGCGGGGGAGGGGTCGAGCATGCGTCCCGCACGCGTGCGTCCGTCGCGTGGTCTCACCCGTATGGGCCCGTTAAAGGGGCTTGCCCAGCGTGGTGGTCTCCGGACTCTTCACCCGACGGCGGCCCCCCTGGCAGGGTGCACGCGCGGCCAGCCGCCAGTGTCTCCTGCAGCGGGCGACGTCGGGGGGGGGGGGGGACGAACGACGACGAGGAGGGGGACGAGGAGGAGGGATTCGAGTCGACTCGATTTCGATGGCTTCCGATTCCGATTCGATTCGACTTCGGATTCCGATTTGGGCCCCGATTGCTCATTTGACGCATACAAGCCTGCTGATTTCCGCCGATTCGACTTTTCCCGACCCCGCTGCCGATTTCCGCCGATCCGATTCATGTCGATCGCCGATCCGACTTATCGACTCGATTCTGGGCTCTCTTGGGGACGCAACAGTTCCGAGCGAATGTCTGGCAAACACGTGAAAAGGAGGGGAGGCGGGTGGAGGATGGGGAGAGGGAAATATTGATATTTGTAGGGAAAGGAGGGGAAGGGGGGAAAGGCGGGAGGGGAGAAGGAGTGGTGGTAAGGGAATTGGGGAGGGGCAGGATGAGGGAGAGGAGGGTGCGATGTGCGATCTCTGATTCTTTGTTGTTGCCCCCCTTTGACATCTGTTTATTTGCTTTGTCGATTGTTGTTTCCTCACGGTTCGCACCACTGCGTAACGTAGGATGACGATTAAAACATGACCAGGGGTCGTGTTGTGTCGGCAGCGCCCCGGAGGATGATTAGAAAAAATTAGATCGTTCCCCCCCTGCCGTCCTCGGGCGCGCGCCCGGACAACCGACGTGGATTGTGTATTTGACGTAACATTTGAATCCGACGTCAAATGAGCATTAGACATCATGTCTGAAGCCGACGTGGAACGAGTATTTGACCTGAAAGTTTGAAGCCGACGTAGAATTGGTATTTGACGTGAAATTTGAAGTCGACGTCGAATCAATGTTTCACATCAAATTTGACGACGACGTGAAATACGTATTCGACGCAATATTCAAAGCCGACGTGTAACAGACATGTTTAATCGTCCTCTTCCCGTTGGGAAACCGCATAGAAGTCAAAGCAATTATTACTCGAATCGTCCCCCTATGTTTTTATTAACCGTCATCCTGCATTACATGCAGATCAGACGTTGAAGAGTTAAAGTCGGACCCTGTTTCTTTCCCAGGTTCGGGGATCCCTTCACATTTGCTTACGTATCTCCAGGAGGACATGAATGTCCACATGGAGACCCTGAAGAAGACTGCCATGAAGTTCAACGGCGTGAAGACGCGGGAGGTCTACATCGGGAACCTGCCCTACAACCTGGTGACCGAGCACAGGCTGCGCCTGGCCCTGGGGACCCTCTTCAGGGAGCTGCCGGCCTTCCGGCAGACGTACCCGGACGTGGACGACCCCATCCACTCCCTCACTTTGCACGTCTCGAGGGAGGAACAATGGCATCGAAGAAGAAACAACGCTATGAACATGAATGTTTGGCGCCGCCGCGGGGGGGGGGCCCAGCGCGGATCCAAGAAATCCGCGCAGAGCGCCAAAAGTTTACGTTTGCGGCGTTTTCCTTCGTCGAGTGAGCATACACTTCGGAGCTCCGCGTGGGCGCCTCACGGATCCCGCGCTGGGCGTTCGGATGCAGCTTTTGGGAGGTCAAATTGAGATTTTGCCCCAGTCCGACATCCGTTCCTGCTTAATCCCGCTTAATCCCGCATAATTTGGCTTAATCCCGCTTAATCCCCACTCACTCCCTCACCCTGCACGTCTCGAAGGAGAAATAATGCCAAGCAGTGGCGACGCGTCCTGGCTCGCTGGGACTGTCTTGGTGTGCTCTAAGAGCATTGTTTTTGTTCTATGTCAGGGTTCTAAGAAAATTTCGTGGTAGGCCTGTAGGACTGCCGGGACGGTCTTTCCCTGATCAACAATGGCAGAAATATCAATTGTCTGAGTTTCGCGCGGATTTCTCGGATAGGCGTGAGTCGGGCGCGTCCCTCTACACAGGAGGAGTATTCGAAGATAGTCAAAACATGGTTCGGGGACGATTTGTCGATTATTGTTGAATGTCTTTCAGTACAGTGGAGGCCCATGCCAAGAAACACCCTGCTTGCCTCCAGGGTGCCCTGAGTTTCTTGGGTTTCGATGGTTTTGCTACGGAAAACGTAACGCTCCCACGCCAAGAACCCATGGTCGTGCTGGGGTTCAGGGGTGGGTTTCTTGTGGAAGTTTTCTTGTGGACTGGCCTGCACTGCATTCATTGCGTATGTTTTATGCTGCTTCCAGAATCCGCTTGTGAGAGGACATGCCCGAGGTTAAGTCGGGTTTGTCCCTCCCTAGGAGGAACATCCAAAAATGATCAAAGCATAGTCTGGGGACGATTTCTCGACAATTTGCTCTGACTATTTCGGAATACTGTTCGACTAGTTGTTAATTTGTCGCTCAACATCCGCCTGTAGGAGGACATGCCCGACCTAAGCGATAGGCGCCCCGTGGCGGCGCCTCTCCAGCGCCGCCGCCCCCCGGCGCGCGCTCCAGCCCAGCGCCGGGTTCGCTGAGGCGCCCGCGCGGAGCTCCGAAAGTTCATGTTTTGATGGGCCAACGTTCCACCGCCACTACACAGGCAGGACGAGAAAGAAGGGAGGACGGAGAGGTGCTCTTCCTCTTCCTCCGCCTCCGCCTCCGCCTCCTCCCCCTCCTCCCTCCCCGACCTATGGTAGTGATGATGGGAAATCGGCGCCTCACTCGAAGAAGAAAAAGCGCCAGAAGTACAAACTTTTGGCGCTCCGCGCGGATGTTCTTGGATCCGCGCTGGGCCCACCCCCGGCGGCGGCGCCTCCGGCGCCGCGCCTGGCGCGCTCCGCGCGCCAGGGCGGAGGGGGCCAGCGCAGATCAAAGAAAAATCCGCGCGGAGCGCCAACAGTTGATGTTTATGGCGTCTTTCCTTTCTCTGTCCACGCCATTCTTTCTCCCTCGAGTGTCGCCGGGATGGGCGCCTTCGCCTTCGTGGAGTTCCAGGACGAGATGCTGGCGAGCACCGCGATGCTGTTCAGCGGCTTCGAGCTGTGCGGCAGGAGCTTCTGACGCAGATCCCCATCCCCACGACCGGCACCCCTCCATCTCGATGCCCGTTTTTCTTGAGACTTCCCGCAGTTTCTGAGGGCACATCCCAAAGAGTGGCATCGCCTGTGGGCATGTCAATTTCAGGCATAGGGGATGCGCTCGAATGGAAGAAGGAACACGCCGCAAATACAAACTTTTCGCGCTCCCCGCGGAGTTCTTCGATCCGCGCTGGGCGCTCTGGCGCCGCCCCTGGCGCGCTCCGCGCTCCAGGGAGGAGGGTCCAGCGCAGATCAGCGCGGAGCGCCCATAGTTTATGTTTATGCAGCTGTTGCTTTGTTGTTATTCTTCGGCTTCGTCACTGTCCTCCTCTTATGATGATTATCATTCTTATTATGATCATTCTTATTAGTATTACTACTATTATTTATTAACTTATTATTTTGTGTCGGTGCAATATGTTTCTTCATATGGCCTTTGTCATCGTTATTATTATTATGATGCTTCTACTTTATGTATCTTGTCTTCTAAGCTGGGTAGAAGCGCGGGCACATCCCGAAGCGTGTCATCGCCAGTGGGTCTGTCAATATCAGAAATATGGATGCGCTTGAAGCTGGGTGCAGTGGAAGCCCATGCCAAGAAACACCCTGCTTGCCTCCAGGGTGCCCTGGGTTTCTTGGGTTTCGATGGTTTTGCTGTGGAAAGCGTGACGTGCCCACACCTGAAAGAAACAGTGGAAGCCCTGGAGTCTCAGGGTGGTGTTTCTTGTGGAAGGTTTCTGGTGGACGAGCTCCTACTGTAGGAGCGCGGGCACGGAGAGGCCGCGGTCTAGGCCTCCCAGATGAGCTCGGAGTAGATTTAAGTCGGACATTCCCCTCTACAGGAGGAATGTTCAAAAATAGTCCATAATTAGTCTGGGGACGATTTCTGGAGTTTTCTTTCAGTATTTGTGAATATCTGCTGAGTGCAAAAAATGTTTCTCCAAATTCCGCCTGTAGGGGGACATGCCCGACCTAAGGGTAGATGGGGTCGGAGGATGGCGCCGCATCTTGCATCGCCGATACGGCTCCATGTGGAGCCCGTGCTTCCCCACGCCGACGTCGCCGATGCATCGCCGACGTCGCCCATGCATCGCCGATGCGTCGGCGATGCATTGGCCGTGCGGCGCGATCCTTCGAGCCCATCTGCTCGGACCCCACCTATACAGTCGGGGCCCTGAAGAAGGAACCATTTTCGTTGGGGAGGGGCTCCGCGTTCCTTGAGTGTTTCGCAGCTTGCCTCAGGTGTTCCTTCTGTTTTCGATCGGACATCGAAGGTTAACTTTTTGAAAAAAGGCGCCTCGTTCCTTATTTTGGGTTCCTGAGGTCAACGCCCCGATCCTGCTGTGCCTGGGAGGAGGAGGAGGAGGAGGAGGAGGAGGAGAAGGAGGAGGAGGAGGGGAGGAGGAGGAGGAGGAGGAGGAGGAGGAGGAGGGGAGGAGAGGAGGAGGAGGAGGAGGAGGAGGAGGCCCCCCGCAGGAGCGCGGGCATGGGGAGGCCGCAGGGCTACCTCCCCCCGCCGAACGGCGAGGCCCCGGCGCTGGACGTGACGCCGCTGCGCCAGCGCGGGCTGCTGCCGGTGGCCCCGTCGAACAGCATGTGCGGCGAGCGGGGCCTCATCCTCCTCCTCCTCCTCCTCCTCCTCCTCCTCTCTCCTCCTCCTCCTCCTTCCTCCTCCTCCTCCTCCTCCTCCTCCGCCTCCTCCTCCTCCTCCTCCTCCTCTCCTCCTCCTCCTCCTCCTCCTCCTCCCCCCCCTCCTCCTCCTCCTCCTCCTCCTCCTCCTCCTCCTCCTCCTCCTCCTCCTCCTCCTCCTCCTCCCCTTGTCAGCCCACCCCGTCAAGATCCAGCCTCCCCCCCTGTCCCAGCCCCCCCGAATCATCAGGGGTAACTCGGGTCAGGGTTAACTCGGGTTCGTGTTTCGGGAATCCAAACCCGAGTTACCCCGGGCCCGAGTTACCCTGGATATTTCGGGCGTCCAGAGCCCCACATCATCAGGGGTAACTCGGGTCAGGGTTAACTCGGGTTCCTTTTCCAGGAATCCAAACCCGAGTTACCCCGGACCCCAAAGGCTCCAGAATTGAACGAAAAGCTGGGACCGCCGAAGATGGGGTCGAAGGATAGTGCCGCATCGCCGATGCATCGGCGATGCGGTTCCATGTGAATCCCGTGTTGCTTCACGTCGACGTCGAGGATGCATCGCCGATGTGGCTGATGTATCGTCGATGCCGCGGGATTTCTGGACACCATCTACTCGGAGCCCATTTGGAAGTCCTCCAGGCAAGAACCAGAGAGAGGGCAAGCTGCGCGAGCTGTACTTCGGCTGTCGAAGAATGAAACACCTGCATAAACATCAGTACTCGGAGCTCCGCGCGGATTTCCTGGATCGGCGCCGGACACCCTCTGGCGGCGCTTTGTGCGCCACCGGCGCGTTCCGCACGCCAGGGAAGGAGATCCTGCTCCGATCGAAAAAAAAAAACGCGAAGGGCTCCGCAAGTTCAGGATTATGCAGCTCTTTGTTCTTCTAGGCAACCTCGTTCGTGGCAAGACCTCTCCAGATGTCATCCTGAAGCTGATCGATCCCGTCGCCAAGCGTCTCGCAGAGTGGCGAGAGCAGGAGGGACACGCGGTGACAAACGTCAACGTCGGTCCAGAGGGTACCTACGCCTTCGTTCAGTTCCAGAGCATCCAGCTGGCCACGAAGATCATGCAGATCTTCGATGGCCAGGATCAGGGGTATCGTAACGGAGGGATGTCTCAGGGGAGGATGTTTCCCCTGTCGCCCACTGATCGCGGATGTGGGGTCCGATAGCCCACCCCGCCCAGCAACGGTCGAATTCGTTGTCGGGTGCCTTTCGCGTGTGTCGGCAATGTATCGCCGATTCCAGCAATTGTTCCATACGGAGTGCAGCTCATTCTCAAGCTACGTTTGAGAGTTCGCCCTCTTGGTTTGCTGCCGCGCCCCTTGTTCTTGAAACTTCTGCCATCTGCGCGGACGGGAGGGGCTTCCTTCTGAGACTCATTGCGCTCCGTGGCGCTGATTTTACGGCATTCCAGATGAGTGTGTCCCCTCCTGAGCTGCTCCCTTCCTAAGAACCAGTATGTTTAATTTTAAGTCGGGCATGTCCATCTACAGGAGGAATATTCAAAAACAGTGGAAACATGTCAGGGGACGATGTGTTGATCATTTGTTGTTTTTTATGTTTGGCGTTTTTTATTTTTCGTCCAGACTCCACCTGAAGGAGGACATACCGGACCTAAGTTTCATTCGCGATAACGCCCGTGACCCGCCCCGCGCCCCCTCCCCCTCCCCCTCCCTGCTCACTTCACGAGGCGCGCCGGCCCCGGGTGGGCACTGGCCGCTCCTAGAGCCATTCCCAGACGGTGCCAGCGCGAATCGTGACGTGACCGTCCCCCCCCCCCTCACCCCCCAGTCTCGCCCGTCATTGCCGGGGATATGACAACGGCTTCTTCGGATGCAGCTCCTGGGAGTTCAGATTCTGATTTTGCCCTGGTCCGAAATCCGGCTTAATCCCGGTTAATCCCGCTGAGTCCGGCTTAACCCCGCTCGATCCAAGGCCTTCTATTGGGCAACAGCCCCCCACGGGGGGCTTAATTCTTTTTAACCCTTCCGACGAAGACCTCACAGTAGTTGCCTCCTAAGGTTTCTAACGTTGCCCATCACAGGAGGTGTTCGGGAGGGTCCTCAGGGTGAGGCGCACGAACACTTTCGAAGAGGCGGCGAAGGGTGAGCTGAAGGCCGCCCGGCGGATGGGGAGCGGAGTCCTCCTCCTCGCCCTCTCTCCCTCTCGGGGCCGGATGAGTCAGGAGGGGAGCCGGAGCAAGAGGGGGGCCGTCAATTGTGGAAAAGGTCATCAGATGGCCTTTTCCAGTTTTCACGGCTCCCTTTTCTTCCGTGTTGTTTTCACCGTTTTGTTTTTAGCGTTGTGTTTTTGTTTCCAGTGTTCATTGCCACCATTTTGTTTTTACCGTTTTTCGTGTTGTTCGAAAACGGTGAAACAACGGACCTGCCGTTCTTGGCGCCCATTAAAGGCTGGAGGAAGAGGAGGAGGAAAAGCAAGAAGAGGTTGTCGAACGATGCGATCACATACCAAAGGCCGACCAGCCAGGAAATAGCCTGGCCGAATTCCAAACCATGTGCAGTTGCGGGTACCGTATTTGTGGTATCGTCATCGGTGACGCCTTCCATGTGGGATCGCGACACGTGCGAGTGGTGTTCCGAAGTAGTGAAGAGAAGGCACGCGGGCACTGCCACTGGGGCGGTAGGTGGACCTTCCCATGACGCCGTGAAACGTGCGAGTGGTGTGCCGAAATGACATGGACGAGTCATGCGAACCCAGCCACTGTGGCCTCCGGTGCAGCTCCCTGTGGGGCCGCTTAACGTGTGGAGGTTGTGCCGAAATATTGTGGAGAAGGCATGCGGGCCCTGGCACTGGGGCCTCAGGTGGAGCTCCCTATTGGGCCACGAAAGTGCGAGAGGTGTGCCGAAATGGCGTGAACACGTGTATGCGAACCCAGCACCTCGGGCTTTAGGTTGAGCTCCCTGTGGTGCCACGACGCGTCTGAGGGGTGCGCCGATTTGGTGTGGACAAGTTATGCGGGCCTTGACAATGGGGCCTTAGGTGGACCTCCCCATGACGCCACGAAACGTGTGAGGGGTGCGCCGAAATAGTGTGGATAAGGTATGCGAGCCTAGCCACTGGCGCTTGACGTGGAACTTCCCATGCGGCCATGGGGCCACGAAACGTGAGGCATGCTCCGATATGTGTGTGGAGAATGCATTTGGGCCCTGGTGCTGGGGCCTTAGGTGGAGCTTCCTATACGGCCACGAAGTGTGTGAGGGGTGTGCCGTGCCGAAACGGTGCGGTGAGGGCATGCGGGCCCTGGCGCTGCTGCCTCACGTAGAGCTCCCCATGGGGCCACGAAACGTGTGAGGGTGCGCCGACGTAGTGAAGAGAAGGTACGCGGGCACTGCCATTAGGGCCGCAGGTGGACCTTCCCATGACGCCGTGAAACGCGCGGGCGGTGTGCCGAGATGGCGTGGACGAGTCATGCGAAGCCAGCCACTTGGGGCCTCCGGGGAAGCTCCTCCCTGTGGGGCCGCTCAACGTGTGAGGGATGCGCTGGCATTGTGTGGAGAAAGCATGCCGGCCCTGTCACTGGGGTTTTAGGTGGAGCTCCTGATGGGGCCACGACGTGTGTGAGAGTTGCGCCGAAATGGCGTGGACCAGGCATGCAGGCCTTGGGTGGAGCTCATGGCGGGGCCACGAAGCGTGTGAAGGGTGCGCCGAAGTTCAGACGTGGAAGGCAGAGGCAGGTGTGGGAGGAGGGAGGGGGGGAGGGGAGAGGAGGAGAGGGCGATGCGGGGCGATGCGTATTCAGAACGAGGGCTCAACACCACAGGATGGGTGGGAAAAGCGTCGAAGAGGAGCATGGAGGGGAGGAGGGAGGCGGGGGGAGGACCAGGGCATCCTAGTAGAGCTGCATCCGGCTCTGATGGGATCCCATGAATCTTATTTGAGCTGGGCCCAGCCTTCATAAAACCCAAGTAGAGCTAGGTCCAGCTCCCGCAGAATCCGAGCAGAGCTGGGTCCAGCCGTGCTGGAATCCGAGTGGAGCCGGACCCAGCTCGAGCAGAGCCTTCGTCGAGCTGGATCCATCACCATCAGGAACGCGTGCAGAGCCCTGGCATCGCTCGGACGGGTGCATTTTTTTCTCGGCGAGGACCTTCGAGGAGCATCCTCGACCATTCGGCAAAAAAACCACGCACGAAACCAGACAAAACACAGGAAATGGACGTCCGAGCGATGGCGAGGAGCAAGATCCAGCTCCAGTGTATGGATGCCTTGGTGAAGCTGTCACCACCCACCAAACCACCCCAACCCAACCCGAAGGCTCAGATTTATCGAAAAAACACGTGTGGAACCCTTACCCCCCCCAACCCGAAATTCGGGTCTTCGGGTTGGGTTGGGGTGGTCTGGTAGGTAGTCAAGCTGGACCCCCCCCGCCCTCCGCGGGCAGGCCGTGGAGGCCCTGCAGGCGCTGCTGCCGGAGAAGGTGGCCTCGACGAGCCGCACGGCCCGCCCTGCCCGAGACGGGGGGGCGGCGGGCGGCTGAGTCGGGGGTGGGCAGACCTCCTACCCTGAGGGAGGAGGGAGGGAGGGAGGGAGGGAGGGAGGGAGGGAGGGAGGGAGGGAGGGAGGGAGGAGGGAGGAGGAGGAGGAGGAGGGAGGAGGAGGAGGAGGAGGAGGAGGAGCTATGGCGCTATGGCGGAAGCGCGGTGCCCAGACGCGTCGATTAGGGACTTGGCCGTTCTCGGTTCGCGGGGGGGCGTCGCGGCCGTTCTGTTTGCGGGCCCAGGTCCGTCGGTTTCGGTCCCAGGCCGTTGTCACTGAGGGGGGGGTCTACCACAGGGAGGTTTGTCCACCGCCGAGGCTGGCGGCGCGCACCGAGGGGGGGGGGGCATGGGGTCGGGCCTGTCCCTCGCCACCGCCGAGGCTGGCGGCGCGCACCGAGGGGGGGGGGGGGCATGGGGTCGGGCCTGTCCCTCGCTGCGGGCGGATCCTGGGAGGAAGGCCAGAAGCATGGCCCCGAGGCTGGAACACCTGCCGAGCACCAGCGGAGCCGCCCCGAAACCTGCGAGGGCGTGCTGGCGGGGCCCTCGGCGAGACGCGGCGAAGACGGCCCAGGAATCTTGTAGGAGGAGAAGGAGGAGGAGGAGGAGGAGGAGGAGGAGGAGGAGGAGGAGGAGGGCTCGGGAATATTGGAGGAGGAATCAGAGAGGGAGGGAGCCCAGGGAAAACCTCTGGGGGGATAGAGAAGTCGGCCTCGGAAAGCCTGCGGGAGGAGCTGCCTTGGGCCTCGCCGAAGCAGCTGGCCGGCCTGGTTCGGCCGGGCCACGTGGCGCCCCCTTGAGCCGTGAGGGCTCCGGCGCTGGGTGTGCACGTGCGCCAGGTGCGCGGGCCGCTCGGCTCGGGACGCGGATTTGGAGGAAACTTCCTGGGAGGCTTTACTCCAAATCCCTTATTAATCACCCCCCCCCTAAAGAACCGGACCCCCCTCCAAATGCGACCCAATATTCCGGACCCCCCTCTTCGACGGGGCGCCTTACTAAACTGGACCCCCTAAGCTCCAATCCAAAGAAAACGCCCTAATAAATCGGACCCCCCCAGTTACAAAAAAGGCGCCTTAAAAACCGGACCCGGGGGACGATTAATAAGGGATTTGGAGTAATCAATGGAGTGGGCCGGCCTGGGCCAGGTATGACATCAAAATTAAAGATCTTCATTGATTCCGTCGCTGCCCTGTGCGAAGCCTCATTTCAGATAGTGCTTGCGATGTTGTGTTTGGCCTTCATCGGACTGATTTCAGCACTTGCCCGAAAATGTGATTCCTCGTCTAGGCCGTTGGCCCGAGTGTAGTGTTTTTGTCGTTGGCCCGCCCGATGTCCCATTTTACCCAGTCTCCGATCATTTTGTTTATTTTGATTTCAGCCTTCATTGATTTCGGCCTCCTGGTATAAGATATAGAATCCCCAAATCGTCTCCAGACCAGTTCCTGACATATTTTCGAATATTCCTCCTGTAGGGGGACGTGCCCGACTTGAGGGTGGCACGCGGGTGGCGGCCTCCCAAGCAGGCGGGTTCGGTCGCAGATCATGGGAGCCTGGCGTACCTTCTTAATTCCGTCTTGAGCGTCGGATTGGCGTCTGGAAGTCGATGAGATCGCGCCCGATCCAGCGTCGATTTGGCGTCGATGGGGCGTCGACTCGCAGGAGCCGACAAGATGGTGTGGGAGGCCCCCGTGAGTTGCCACAGAAGGCGGGGGGGGAAGCACACTTGGACCGGACAATTGGCGTCTACTAAACGGCGCCCTGGGCGTCTACTGAACAACCCTGCCCTGTTCCATTCCTTCTTTGGGCGCGTTTATTATCAGCGGCTTCGCGCGTCAGGGTTCAGGAGGGAAAGAAACACACAGACACAATGAATCGTCGACTCCCAGGAAAATATGCAAAAATATGGGAAGTGGGGGGGAAGACAAAAACCCATAAAATATTGGAAAATATAGGGAATAGTTTTATTTGTGTGTATTTATTTGTGTGTCCTGGGGCCCCTTCAAGGGTGCTTATATCATCGGGGTGGATGTCCTGCCCTCTGCAGAAGGCGGCGGGGGGGGTCTGCAGAGGCAGGGGGAGGCCTTCCGAGAAGAGCGCTTCGTGTCTCCCGGGGAGGCTCAGAGAACACTTCCCGGCAGGCCGAGGGCCTTCGGAGCCTTCTGAGAAAAGGCCCGTCCCTCCTCGCTTCCCCCCCTCGCTCGTCGCCTCCTCCTCCTCCTCCTCCTCCTCCTCCTCCTCCTCCTCCTCCTCCTCCCCCTCCTCCTCCCCCTCCACCACCTCCCCCTCCACCTCCTCCTCCTCCTCCTCCTCCTCCTCCTCCGCCTCCTCCTCCCCTCCTCCCCCTTCCGTTCTCTCCTCCCCCTCCGCCTCCTCCTCCCCCTCCTCCTCCTCCTCCTCCCCCTTCCGTTCCCGGCGCTCCCGGCGCGGCAGCTCCCGCGGGGGGGGGGGGGCCTCTCGGAGGGGCCTCCGCCCTCCCGGGAGGCGCGCCGTGCCCCCCCCGCGGAGGGCCCGCCGCCCCTCGGAGGGCACTGGCACCGCCCGCGCGCGCCGCCGAGAGAGAGGGCGGTGCAGCTCCCCCTTCGGGCGGGGCGTTACGTTATAGGGGGGGAGGGGGGGGGGCAGGGGCTCTAAGGCCCATTATGCCCCAGCGATGAAGAAACACGCTCTGTGGGGAACCTTTCCTCCTCCGAGAGTCCCCCCGGGAGTCCTCCTCCGAGTCCCCCCGAGAGTCCCCCTCCTCCGAGTCCCCCCGGAGCCTGGGAAGCTGAGGGAGGCTTGGGCGCACGGTGGCATGCAAGTCCTCGTGCCCTCCCCCTCTGTCCCAGATCTGCTTCCCGGAAGTGGCCTCATCCATCCCTGGGCTGACGTTGTGGGGTTGCTGTCGGTCGCCGGCCTGGGCCCCGCGGCTCTCTACTAGAGGGGCGGTGCCCGCAGTTCCAATATGCCACCTCGCTGGGAGGTCGCCAACCAACCAACCAACCAACACGCTCTATGGGGAACCTTTCCTCCTCCGAGAGTCCCCCCAAGAGTCCCCCCTGATCCACCACCCCAGCGCAGGGCGGCCACCGCGCCGTCTGCCCCCCCCCCCCCCCCCCCCAAGCAGGGCGGCAGCCAGCTGATCACCCCCTCTTCCCTCCGCCCTCCTCCCCCACACCGATGCTTCACTCTAGGCGATACTTAAGAAAACCCAAGTTTTCGGCCAGAGTCTCGATGATTCTTCATGTTTCAGTGTAAATCCCAAGATTTGAACAGACATTCTGGGTTTTCATTCAGATTCTGAGACTATGAATTTCTTAACCCATGATGTCTAAAGCATTTCGCAGGGTGTACGGGAGGGACGTTTCGGGGGTGGACAGAACCCCCACCTTGACACGTCGATTAGTGAATTGTCCGTTTTCGGCGTTCGAGAGGGCGCCGCGGCCGTCATTTTCCAGTCTTGCGCCCGCCAGGTTTGGGCCCGAGGTCGTTCTCACCAAAGCACGTTTTACTAAAGCGGATTCTGTCCATCCCCGAATATTCAAAGATAGTCTAGCAATAGTCTGGGGACGATAGTCTGGGGACGAATAGTCTGGCTATGTTAAATGTTGCGCCCAAAGGCCTCTGGACTATTTTCATTTTTGTCGCCCCCAATCCGCCTGTCGGGAACGTGCCCGACCTAAATGTAGGTAGTTCTGGATTTCAGGTTCCAATATGAGGGGGCGAGCGGACACCTCAGCGCCTTCCGACGTCATGCTTCTAAGTACTTCTTCCGACCGATGGGGGCGGGCGGAGACTCAATCTATTTTCAACGCCTTCCGACGTCATGCTTCGACCTACTTCGCCCGACCGATGGGTGCGTTTAACGCAGTCAGTCGCGTTGCCGTGCGATGCAGCCACCGCTCTGGCCTGGCGCTCAGAGGAGGAGCAGGAACCCATACCGCTGCCCTCCGCCCGTTTTCCCCCTCTTGGGCCTCCTGGGGGAGCCTCCTCGCCACCGCCGAGTTCGCCTCGAAATCCTGGTCAGAACGCACCCTGGGAGAGGTCCGGGGCATAGCGGTATCGGTACCTGTTGGTTTCCCCAGGCGCGCGGGGTGGGCTGGGGCGGGGCGGGGGGCGTCCCGGGGAGACGTGGGAGCGGCGGGCGAGGGCGGGGAAGCGGCGGCGAAATTCGAAGATTCCCTGCTGCGATCCACGGTTCGGGCAGCCCGATGGGCGGAGGCGTTGGGGTTCGGAATTCGTCGAGCACGTGGCGAACTCCGAGCCCTACACCCGCCTCCCGTCGATTCAGAAGAGTCGTGGGTTAGTGGGGGTAGGGTGCGGATGCCGCCACCTAGGGGAAGGACGGGGCAGTTGATCAGCATGAAGAGAAGGGGTCTCGGAGAAAGCGGGTCTTGGCGGGTTTGGGCAGGTTTGGGCAAGACGGCGGCTAAGGATGCGGAGTTGCTTTCGAGGGAGAAGGCCCCAGGGTCAACCCAGGGTGCATCAACGCTGCTGCAATGTGCAGCCATCCATCCTGAGCCCCTTCCCCACAAGTCCCGGAATTGCAAGCTGAAAGACAAACACCCCATCGAATGGCCTTCGGCCCATCCCGCCACCGTACTTGGGTTATGGGTATGGAGTCTATTGGATGTTCGCTGGGGTCTCGTGGGAGGCCTCTCGGGAGCCTCTTGGAGCCAGGTTGTAGGCCTCTTTGGGACCGTTTCGGGGCATCTTGGGGGCCATGTCGGAGCCTCTTGGGGCTCTTTTTTGCCTTTTGGGCGCCTCTTGGAAGTCTCTTCGGGGCCTCTTGGGGGCCTCTTGGAAACTTATTGGGGCCTCCTGAGGCCTCCTGGTGGCTTCTCAGGGCAGAAGGATCGGAATTTCTGTTCGTGGTCCCCTTCTTGGGCCCCTCCTAGGGCCGTCTTGAGGCCCTCGTGGGCCGTCTTGGGCGCCTCTTAGGCCGCCTTGGAGACCTTATGGGCCGTCTTGGAACGGCCTTGGGAGCCTTTTGGGTCGTCTTGGAGCGGCGGGGAGCGAAAAAGGCGAGAAGACTAAAATTCTTGTTTGATTAACGATTTGGGCCTCTTGGGAGGCCTCTTGGAACTTTCTGGTGGCGTCTTGACGGCCTCTTGGGCCGTCTGGAGGCCATCTTGCGCGTCTTGGGGCGCTCTTGGGGCTCTCCTGGCCCGTCGTGGGGTCCTCTCGGGCTCCGAGAAGTCATGCGGCAGGATGCGCCAGAGCCCTGGGGACACGTCGGGAGCCCCGCCAAATGTGGCGATGTTGGGTCTGGGCCCTAAAGGGGCTCCTCAAGACTGGGGGCGGAGGCTCCAGGGAACAAAGGACCTGGGGACACGCCTATTTTGCATGCCCAACTTTAACGTGGGACTTAAACGGATCATTGGGTGGTGATAACAGGGGTGATTGCAAGGGTGTTTTCAAGGGTGTTGTGTTCGGCGGCCAGAAGTAACTCCCAAACAAAACGATTGCGCGGGCGATGCGCACACTGCCGGGGAAGTGGCGTTGTGGGCGCGCGGGGGATCAGTGCGAGCGAGAGGCGCAGTGTCTACTCCGTGCCCAGGGGCACGGTGGCGGACGTGGGTTGCCATTCGGGCTTGAGTCCCGCTTTGATGATGCATTGCCGTGCGTCCCTCTGGCGAATGGAAAAAAGGTACATTCGTAAAGTTAAACGAGCTGTTCAACGAGAGCCCACTTATGAAGTGAAACCGCTTCACATCCGCTTGAGTGTTTCGCAATACTACACGGGCGTGTCCCTCTACAGGAGGAATCTTCAAGAATAGTCAAAATATGAGTGGGAAGGTGTTTCTATTGTTTCGTGTGACTATTGGAGCATTGTTTGACTTTTTCAGTGTTCTTCCAAAATCCAGCTGTAGGGGGACACGCCCGACCTAAGACTACACGTCTGGCCCAGAAGTGTCTGGGAAGTCCAAGGCAGAAGCCCCAGCTCTGAAAAGGATCCGCCCTCAATCCGCGCAGATGTTACACACCTATTCTAGCTTCGTCCTGCCGAGGAAGTCGCAAACGAAGGCCTCCGACTAATGTACCGCAGGCTTGCAATACGAATTTGCGCGGCGCTCAATCGATCGGTAAGCTTCGGAAACTAACGTGCCTCCGCCTTTAGCTGCTGCAAACAGGTGTGACGAATGTGTGTGGCGCCCAGGCGAGAGTCGCACTTCTGAGTCGGCAGCCCCTCGATCCTTGCAGCTGCCTGCAAACATGTATGACAAATGTACGCGTCGCCGATGCGGACGCGGTTCTGTTGAACCACATGTCATCCGCCCTTGAAGCTGTTGCACACGTGTGAAACGAATGTGCGCAGCACCAAGGCGGGAGCGTACACCTTAGGCGATGCTTAAGAAAACTTGAGTTTTCGGCCAGAGTCTCGATTATTCTTAACGTTTCAATGTAAATTTTATGATTTTAATGGAAATGTTGGGTTTTTATTCAAGTTCTGAGACTATGAATTTCTTAACCCATGATTTCTTAATCATTTCGCAGGGTGTATTAAAGTGACCCGCCCTCCATCTTTGAAGTTGTTGGAGTTGGTTTAGCCTCAGCATAAGTAAGCTGCAGGGAAGTCTCGAGCGAACGGCCCCGCCCGGCTCACGGCCACACCTGGTGGTGCGACAGGGGGGAGATGAAGGAGGAGACCGAGGACGAGGAGGACTAGGATCAGGAGGGGAAAAAACACACAGACACAATTAATCGTCGATTCCCAGAAAATATGGGAAAATATGGGAAGTGGGGGGGAAGACAAAAACCCAGAAAATATAGGAAAATATGGGGAATCTTTTTATTTGTGTGTATTTATTTGTGTGTCCCAGTTTCCCTTCGTAGGAGGGTGTCGATACGGCGGAGCAGAGCGACGGCGCATCCGTTCTGGTTCCGCCAACAGATGGGGCGCCCCGCTGACTTCCCGCCCTCCTCGGAGCAGTGCCACTCTATGCCCCTAGGCCTTCCGGGTGGGGTCCGAGTAGATGGTGTCGGGAGATCGCACCGCATCGCCGATGCATCTCCGATGCGGTTCGATGTGGAGCCCGAATTTCCATGCGCTGGCGTCGCCGAGGCACCGCGAATGTCGCCGATGCATCGCAGTAGTATGAGCTATGCACCGGCGATGCAGCGCGATCCTCCGACCACATCTGCTTGGATTCCATCTAGGAGGCCTCTAGCACTCCGTGCCAGCTGTTTCCTCGCCCATCCCCCTCGATTTCGCCACGACGTGCCCCTCCGCTCCGTGCCGGCCGGTCCTTCTCTTCCGTCCCTTCCTCCTCGCGCAGACGTGCGATGCCGTGTTGGCTTGTCCTCCACCTCCTCCTTCTCTTCCTCTCTCGCCTCCTCCTCCTCCTCCTCCTCCTCCTCCTCCTCCTCCTCCTCCTCCCTCTCCTTCTGTTACGTTCGGCGAACTTCAAGCGCTATGCTTGTAGCGTTCAGCAGCATTCGGACTCTTCTTTCTCTTCCTCATATCAGCAGTCGGACTTTCCGGGAGCAGGGGTCTGATTGGATCCAGAGTCGGAGGAAGGTGTAGGTTTCCCCCGCCTCCCATTGGTTTAAGGTTTAAGACGTTTGTTGGGCCTGCCAGGGGCAGGATCATCCGCTGGGACCAGGCGGGATGGACAACCCGAAGGATCCAGAGACCCCAAGAGTTTTGATCGACTAAGCTAATCAACTTCTCCTGGAATCTGGAGGTCGTGAAATTGCGGCCTCTTAGTCTATGGCGCTGTGTGTGCAGTTTGGGTCAACTGAACCGCTTTGGGGAGCGTTCTACCATTATCAGCATCACTAGTCTCCTGTTTCTTATCATCCTCAATCTTCATCTTCATTCGGGGAAACGTAAGACTCGAGTACGCCGAAGTTCGGGTTTGCCGACGTTTTCTGACGAGCGCGGCCTGGATTTTGACGGCCCAGTTTTCGTGGGATGTTTGCAGCGGGAGTTCGCGTCAAATTGCAGATGAGGCCTCGCCATGCTTAGGATGGCCCCGTCGGGCCAACCCGAGCCCCCGCACCCGAGTCTTGCGTCTCCCCGACCCATGATCACCCTCCTCAATCTCTCTCTCTCTCTCTCTCTTGTCATGCTCCTTCTCCTCATCCTCCCCTCCCCCCCCCGCGGGCACAGGCGTTCCACCACGGTCAGCATCAGCAGCTATAGTCGTCTGTGTCTCAGTATCCCCCGTCTTCCACTTCGTGATCGATCGTCCTCCTCCGTCTCTCTCTCCCTCTCTCCTCCTCATTCTCCCCCAACCCCCCCGCGGGCACAGGCGCCCTTCCTCATGCCACCGCCGCCGCCCGGGCCGCCCCCCGAGCCCGCCGAGCTGCCGCCGGAGCAGCTGCCGCTGGAGCGGCCCGGGCAAGAACAGCCCGCCGAGGAATAGGAATAGGAATAGGCATAGCTAGAAGACGATGTCTAGTCAATGCACGATGCCACCCCCAGATCATGCCGAAGTAGTAGACGACCCGAGAGGCGTAGCATGCGACCCAGAAGCTGACGGCACGTCAGGAAGCACGAGGAAGAACATGATACGTCGTACGAGGAATTACCTCACACCATAGACCATTGTAACTGACATTTCACTCCTTCCCATCAGCCGTACATATGTGGGTAGCATTGCACCGAAATAACGGGACGAATTATCAAACCTCGAATGCACGGAGAAGATGCCAAGTTGTCGATGCTGTGCAATCCAGCCAGAAAGTTTTCATGGGGCACGCGGGGCCCGTGCAGATTAGCAGCAAACCCATCCCAAACCAAACAACAAGAAAAGACACATCCCACGAACGACAAGACAGTGTGCGAGCCGTTCGAACTGTACACTGAGAACATGGCCGGCCTTGCCCTAAGCACAAAGAATTGCTCCACGACTCTCTGCAAGCCCATTGCAGCCTTGTAGTTGAGAAGGCGTCGAAGAGCCGCAGCCCGAGGAGGAGGACGACGAGGACGAGGACGAGGAGGAGGACGAGGAGGAGGAGGAGGAGGAGGGGGACGAGGACGAGGACGAGGACGAGGACGAGGACGAGGAGGATCAACCCTCGAGCTTTGATATGCGAGGCGGAGATTGAGGAGGACAGAGCATCGAGGCTCGAGGTTCGAGACGGAGGAAGAGGATGAGGAGGATGAGGAGGGGAGGAGGAGACGGTGGAGGATCTAATATTACCGAGGTGGAGTGGGAGGATCGCGATTCGGATATCATCGCCTTCGCGTGTGTTCTTCTCTCTGCGGGCCCCATGAGGCTTTGGAAGTCTTCTTGGGACCTCGGCGCCCAGAGGAGGGACATGCCTCCGGGGTGTAATAGGAAGAGGTGTAGGAGAAGGGGCAGCAGCATCAGCAGCAGATGTAAGACGAGCAGGTATAAACAAATAACAAAACTAACGCGGCGAGGAATGAGCTCAGACGAGACAGCAGATGTTTTGTGAAGCAGTACCACATGCTTTCTCGCTCTTAGCCTGAAGCTCGTGGGCCCACTGGAGCAGTCCCGTTCACCTGCCAGAGGTTTGATTGGACCACAGTCAGCGCCACCCTCTGGACGATGCCCACAGGGATGCCCATTGATCTTGACAAACTCAGGACCCGTAGCCTCAGGCAGCTCATCGACATCGGGTCTAAGGAACGGTTGAGCGGCTCCCTAAGTTGGGAGCACCAAGGAATGTTCCACGTCAGGTCGCAGTTGGAGCCTGTGGCCAGGACGTGAGAGGAGTTCCATGCTCACGGCTCGGGCCTGGAGGCTTTTTTGTTGGCCACGCACGTGGCAGTTGGAGTGGCCACTCGGGGAAAGCTGTTTCAGGATTGCCAAGTACCGACCAGTCAATGCGAGGTTTGAGGCTTCCCTGAGGGGAATAGGCTTCACAAGTGTTTCGGATGTACAGGGGCCATTCCCGTACAGGAGGGAACGGGCTCCTCTCCTCTCGGGGGTGGACAGACCCCCCACCCTGACACGTCGAGTCGTGAATCGTTCGTGATCGGTTCTCGAGAGGGCGCCGGGGCCGCCATTTCCCAGGCTTGCGCCCGCCAGGTTTGGGCCCGAGGTCGTTTTCACTAAACCACGTTTTACTAAAGGGGGTTCTGTCCATCCCCGAAAACCTCTTTGGGGGACGCCTGGTGGCTGTCGGGTCGTAACACGTGATGGGCTCTGTTCCACCACCACCATATGTTGGAGGAGGGGTCCCCCCTCCCCCTCTTCCTCCTCCTCGTTCTCCTCCTCCACCTCCTCCTCCTCCTCCCCCTCCTCCTCCTCCTCCTCCTCCTCCTCCTCCTCCACCGTCTCCTCCTCCTCCTCCGCCTCCTCCTCCTCCTCCACCTCCTCCTCCTCCTGCTAGGCTCACCGCTGTTCCCAAGACCCTGGACAGGCGGAGGTGGGTAATACCCTCACCCGAGACTACGGCTCGGGGGCAGAGGTGCTTACAGTGGAGGCCCATGCCGAGGAACACCCTGCGTGCCCCCTGGGTGCCCTGGGTTTCTCAGGGCTCATTCCGATTCCTATGATTCGATTTCGGATTCCGATCTGGGCTTCGATCTCTCAGGGAAGGACTACCAGCCTGCCGATTTCCGACGATTCGACTTTTTCCGGCTTTCCCCCGATCCGATTCAATTTGATTGCCGATCGGACTTATCGATCCGATTATGGGCTCTCCTGGTTTCTTGGGTGTCGATGGCTTTGCCATGGAAAGCGTGACGTGCCCACACAGGAAATCCATGGGCGTCTTGGGGTCTCAGAGTTGGGCTTTTGGCGGAAGGTTTCTTGTGGTCGAGCTCCTACTGTAGATGGCTCCGCCCCGGTGCCACAAGGCAGACGTTTCAGTAGGACAGTCCTGGTTTCTGTCGAGGTGAGCGACCGTGGCGATACAGTCGGTGCCCTGAAGAAGGAACCCTTTTCGTTGGGGAGGGGCTCCATGTTCCTTGATTGCTTCACAGTTTGCCTTGGATTTCCCTTTGGTTTCCGAAGGGAAATCGAAGTTCAACTTCTGGAGAAAAGGGGCCTCGTTTCTTATTCAGGGTTCCTTAGGTCGGCGCCCCGACTGTATCATCGCCAGTGCACACGGCCCCCGGCCGCGCACACTCTTCAGATTACAGTGGAGGCCCATGCCAAGAAGCACCCTGCTTGCCTCCAGGGTGCCCTGGGCCTCTTGGGTCCGATTATTCTGCCATGGAGAGCGTGACGTTGCCACACCAAAAATTAGCCTGACGAAGGACCCAACCATATGCAGTTGTGAATACCGCAATTGTGAGTACCATCTTCGCCCGCGCTCCCTATGGGGCCACGAACCGTGCGAGGGGCGTACCGAAATTCGTGGCGGGGTACACAATACGAACAAAGACGGTCGGTCTGAGTGCGAGAGGCTGAGGACGGGTGAGCCTGAGCGCGAGTGGAGTCTGACTGTGAATGAGTCTGCGTGCGAATCAACGTACATAAGTGTCGACGCCCACGTCGGCACGCTCCTCACGAGGACCGCGCCCGCTTCCTTCCCTTTCTTTTTCCGCCTCTTTGCCCGTGCGCGCCGATGTCCATGGCTGCGGGCGCGGCGCTGCACGGAGTCCCCGCGACGCGCGCTGGTCGCCCCGAAGGGGTCCGGGCGACGCGCGCGGGTCGTCCGCTGCGCGCGGCAGGGAGAGCGAGCAGGCTGGCTGATAGCGGGCAAGGCTGTGGCCGCTGGGCGGAGAGACGACGGGGGCGAGCAAGGCTCTGGGCAGAGCGCAGCGCGAAATTCCCGGGTCACGCGCTGGTCGCCCCGAGACGGTCCCAGCGACGCGCGCGGGTTGCCCGCGGCGCGAAGCCAAACAGGCAGACCGTCGAGAGACGGCGAGGCACGGGCGTGTCGCTGCTCAAGTCAAGCCTGGCGGGCAAACTCGGTGAAGCCTAGCTCCCTGGCGAGGGAGTGCGCCTCCACGTTCGACTCCTTCGTTGGCAAACCCTCAAAAACGACTGCGCTCGGGCGGCGGCGCCATGCGAGTTCCGCCACTGGGACCTTAGGTGGAGCTCCCTATTGGGGCCACGAAGCGTGTGAGGGGTGCGCCAAAATGGGGCGGCGGCGCCATGCGAGTTCCGCCACTGGGACCTTAGGTGGAGCTCCCTATGGGGCCACAAAACGTGTGAGGGGTGTGCCAAAATGGGACGGCGGCGCCATGCGAGTTCCGCCACTGGGACCTTAGGTGGAGCTCCCTATGGGGCCACGAAGCGCGCGATGGGTGTGCCAAAATGGGGCGGCGGCGCCATGCGAGTTCCGCCACCGGGACCCTAGGTGGAGCTCCCTATGGGGCCACGAAGCGTGTGAGGGGTGTGCCGAAATGGGGCGGCGGCGCCATGCGAGTTCCGCCACTGGGACCTTCGGTGGAGCTCCCTTTGGGGCCACGAAACGTGTGAGGGGTGTGCCAAATTGGGTGTGCGTGACGCATGCGGGCGGCAGCACTGGGGCATTCGGCTATGCTCCCTATGGGGCCACGAAGCGTGTGAGGGGTGTGCCGAAATGGGGCGGCGGCGCCATGCGAGTTCCGTTACTGGGACCTTAGGTGGAGCTCCCTATGGGGCCACGAAGCGTGTGAGGGGTGTGCCGAAATGGGGCGGCGGCGCCATGCGAGTTCCGCCACTGGGACCTTAGGTGGAGCTCCCTATGGGGCCACGAAACGTGTGAGGGGTGTGCCGAAACAGAGACATGCGGAGAGCAAAAACCAGGATGGGGGAGGAGGGAGGAGGGGGGAGGAGGAGGAGGAGGAGAGGAGAGGAGGACGCGGGGCACCGTCTCTTCAAAACGAGGACCCAACACCACAGGATGGTTGGGAATAAGTGGACGTCCGTAGGTCTCAGGGATTAGCTTCTCCTGGAAGGTTTCTTGTGGTCGAGCCCCTACTGTAGATGGCTCCGTCCCGGTGCCCGAACTCAGACGTTTCAGTAGGGCAGGTCTGGCTTTGGTCGTGATGAGCGACCTTGGCGATATCATCGCCAGTACACACGGCCCCCTACCCCACCCTCTTCAGATCATGTACGGGGCGCTGTATTGTACGTTGTGCCAACGATTCCTAGCCTTGAGTCGGGCGTTTCCCTCTACTGAGGACGATGTTTCGATTATGGTTTGAGTATGTTTGAGTATGTGTTGTGTTGGCTATTTCCGAGTGTTCTTCCAAATCCGCCTGTAGGAGGACAAACCCGACGTATGCCTAGCCGGCTCACTCGACCTGAACAGGGGTACGGTAGGTTCGTGTCGTATCGACTGGCGGCGACCCCGCCAGCGGCACTCAACTTTGAACGCCGCGGGCGACCCAGAGTCGTTCGATGTGGAACGATTTGGACGTTTCGGGAACGGCCGATCGTTCAAGGTTGAACGATCCCCGCGGTGTCAGAAACCAACGGCGAAGTCGGCACGACACAAACCTGACGCATCGTACCCAGCACCAGGAGTCTCTGGAGCTGATGCATCTCCATCAAGGGGCGTTGAGGCCTCTCGGCCCAGACACCCGGGTCCCACTTTGGCCCCCTGCCCCCCCTCCTCTGCGGCTGGTCTCACACAGTAGGATCGGATAGCACAAACCCTGAGGGAGGAGGAGGAGGAGGAGGAGGAGGAGGAGGAGAGTGTGAAAGCAAAGCATACAGACGAGCAGCAAAGCGCAGGGGTCGGCGAGACTGGCTGTGTGGAGTCGCGCAGCAAGCGACTGCTGCGCTTACCGGTCGCGGAACACTCCGTCAGCCCGTTCGTCAGAGTTTGCCTTCAGGACCCGTCGCGAGGCGCGTTCCGGCCCGCATCCTGGGCGGAGACAGCCGCGACGGCCAGGGACGCCTAGAAGGCCCGAGCAACGCAAGGGATTTTACAATCCTTCCCCCGTCCTCCTCCACCCTCCGGGTTCCTTCTCCCCTACTGGTCCCTTCTTCCAGTGGCGTCGTTCTGCGAGCTTGGGTTGTCTTGGGGCCCGTCCAGGCGCGATCTTCAGGGCCCACGTCGCCGCGGCAGGGACCTTCGGGTGAACTTCTTGGGGCCTGGAGCACAGTCAACCCGCACAGTGAGGATGGGCTACCATCCCATGGCTACCCTTTTGCATCCTTGCCCGTGCGGCCCATCCTGAGCGACTCTCGCTGGCCAATATCGTTCGAAAAACGTTAACCGTGGGCCTCAAAGGCCCTTGCATCCTTACCGCGCATCCCTACGGTACGGGTTGACTGTATCCCTTATTGGAGCCAGACCTGATCCAGAATCACCCTGTTTCATTCCGTTGGCATTATTTGGCATTATTTGCATTCTTCGGCTCCACTTGGCATCTTGGCATTGATTCCGTTGGCATTATTGGCATTCTCCAGCCCCATTCGAGGTCCTCTTGGCATGATTGGGCTCTCTTTGGCGTAGCGGCCCCGTCGTCGGGCCCTGAGCCTCGTCTTCGTGCTTGCGATGGCCTCGACGGCGTCGCCCCCCACGGGCCTCCCGCGGGGCCCCCCCCCCCAAGGACGCACCGCCGGCGCCGCCGGAGGTGCAGGCGCTGGGCGAGCGGCAGCTCCTGGAGGACCCCTTGGCCTCGTCGGCGTCGGCGTCGGCGTCGGCCTCGTCGGCCTCGTCGGCGTCGTCGGCGTCGTCGTCGGCGTCGTCGTCGTCGGCCTCGTCGTCCTCGTCGTCGTCGTCGTTGGCCTCGTCGGCCTCGTCGTCGGCCTCGTCGTCGGCGAGCTGACACGCCCCCATCCGAGGCGGGGATGATTCATCACCACCGCCTGGGGCCTCCGCGGACCTTGCCAGGCAGTGGATGCAGACACGCACAGACACGCACACGCACATACACACGATTCACATCCATGTATATATATATATATATATCTGTGTATGTATGCCTGTCTGTGTGTCTGCCTGCCTGTCTGGATGTATGTACGTATGGATGCATGTGTGCATGTACGCACGCATGCATTGCATGCATGCATACGTCCATGGATGGATGGATGCCGATGTCTGGTGTAAGTATGTGTATATGGATGCGTGCATGCATGTATGTATGTAAGTATGGAAGTAGATGCCCGTGTGTGTGTATGTCAGTATGTATGTATATACGTGTGTTTGTATGCAAATGATTATGTGTATATATGTGTATATATAGACCTGTCTGTCTAAATGTATGTATGTGTGTCTGTATGTATGTATGTATAGTTGTGTTTATGCATGTATGGATGGATGTATGGATGGATGGATGCCATGCGTGCATGCACGTGCGTACGTATGTATGTATGCATGTATGTATGCATGTCGGTATGTCTATATGCCTGTATGTCGGTGTGTCAGTGTGTCTGTCTGTCTGTCTGCATGCATGCAGGCATGCATGCATGTATGTATGTGTGTATGTATAGATGCATGCATGCATGCATGTTTGTGTGCATGTATGTACGTGTGTGTCTGTATGTGTGTGTGCATGTATGTATGTATGTATGTATGTATGTATGTATGTATGTATGTATGTATGTATGTATGTATGTATAGTGTGCACGTACGTACGTATGTATGTATGTATGTATGTATGTATGTATGTATGCATTCAAATATGTATGTGTGTATGTATGTATGGTTGTGTGTATGTATGTATGTATCCATGTATGTATGTATGCAGTGTGTACGTATGTATATATGTATGTATAATTTTATGTATGCATGTATGCATGTATTCTATGTATGTATGTATGTATGTACGTATGTATGTATGTATGTATGTATGTGTATGTATGTATGTATGTATGCATGCATGCATGCATGCATGCATGCATGTATGTATGTATGTATGTATGGATGGATGGATGGATGGATGGATGGATGGATGTATGCATGTATGTATGTATGACAACCTTTACACTCTGACCCCCCTCCTGCGGTCATCTCGGCGCCGCTGCCATTGGTATTGGTTTTAGAGCTTATCTGGCTCGAAAGGGGCGCTCGCCAGGACAACACCCACCCACCATCAGTATCGTTTAACCGATCCCTATCTCCATCCCCATCCACATTTCGAGCCCCACCGTCTCACCACCTCAGCTGAGAATATGCCCCTCGAAACCCGAAGAGAGCAGCCTATATCCCCATCTTGGAGGGTAAATCGGCCAGTGGGGCCCAGCCCACGCTGGTGGGGATGGGGATCGGTTACACGGTGCTCACACCCACCACCCCCCTCTGGGGGGGGGTACCGGTGTACCATGACGGTCGTACGTAGGGGGGGGGGGCTTGGACCCCTTTCCATACATATTGGTGCTCGCGCTCGCACCATAGCGAACGCAGCGCAACCCGTCCCCGACGTCCCCCACCCCGCCCATGCGTTACCGTTACCTGGGGCCCCAGCCCCCCCCCCCTTTCCCCCCTTCGCTTAACGACCGTTGCTAGAAATACGACAAGTATCGTTGCGACCGCTTCCTGACTCCGCAGCAGCTTTTGGCTCTCGAGTCTCGGCCTGGCCCGGGGGACGCTCTAGAGCCTGGTGGCGCGTCCGCATCGCGTGGCCTACCTAGCCCAGCGGCGGGCGCTGGCGCCAGGCAGCGGCTACCCCTCCTCCTTCTCCTCGCACTCCTCCTGCTCCTTCTCCTCCCTTCTTCCCCTCCTCCTCCTCCTCCTCCTCCTCCTCCTCCTCCTCCTCCTCCTCCTCCTCCTCCTCCTCCTCCTCCTCCCCCACATCGCCTTCTCATTCTCCTCGCCCTCCTCAACCCCTCCTCGTCGCTGCCCCCTTCTCCTCCTTGTCCTCCTCCTCCTTGCTTTCCTCTTCCTCCTCCTGATTCCTGCTCCTCCTCCTCCTCCTCCTCCTTTCTGCCTCCACCTGCCTTCCCAGGGCGGCTTCTGTGGGGGCCTCTGGGCTAGGCCCCTCTGGAGGTCTCCGGGGAGGCCCCCGGGCCGTCTTGGCCCCTGGGGCCTGCCTTCCACGAGCCTGTGGGAGGCCCCCAATAAGGGGCGACTGAGCGCTCGGACGCTCGCCCCATCCTCCTCCTCCTCCTCCTCCTGCTCCATCCTCCATCCTCCTGCTCCATCCTCTATCCTCGATCCTCCTCCTCCTTCTCCTCCTCCTCCTCTAATTACCCTCCCTGCTTCCCCCTCCACGCCCCATCCTCCATCTCCTTCTCCTTATGCGGTCAATTACCATGTCGGGTCAAGCCAGCTTTGGTTCAAGCCAGCTGCCTGCCTCGGAAGTCCCCAGGGCTGTACCATGTTGTGTGCATGTCTGAGCGCCGCCAAGGAGATCTTCATCACGGTGGTGAACGCTTCGGCGGGCCGGTTTCAGCAGATCTCGTGCCGTTTTTCGTAGTCGTTTGTTGGATGTTCGTCGCGCTTGCCTGAGGCTGTTTTTATTCTGGTGGTCTGCAAGTCCCACTGCGCTGGCTGAGGTATCTTTCGTTGGCATGAGTGTCTTTGGGATTGCTGGGCGTAGCTGTCCTCATCGTTGGCGCGCTGGTTTCCTGTATAGTCGGCTCCGTGGAGGCTATGCCGTGGTCCTAGGGATGCCCCTTGAGGGTCTTGCAGCACGTCGGCTTGTGGTCGTTGTGGCGGTGCGAGGCGTTGCTTATTACTAAGATTTACACTTGTGATTGATGCCATCTACTTTAACACATCCATTCAGCTTCAAGGTGCCATAGTCATAGGTCTTGTTCTCCCCTTTCAGGGAGTATGGTATAGAGTAAAGGTTTAGGGGTCACGGACATTGTGGGTGTTTGGTGGCATCTTTTTCTTTCTACGGTCGCTATATGGGCGGTGCTCCAGGCTTGTACGCACAACATGTACTCGGTGGTTGACTTTGATGGGTTGGGATTTGTGTTTCGTGCAATGCCGTTTTACTTCGTTTTGTGATGGGTCTGTTGCTGCTGTTGTTGGTCAATTCTCGGGCCGTTGGGCGCCTGCTTGTTCGTGCTGCTCGAGGCGGGCCTCGTCATTTATTCCCTCGTATACGACGCTGGTTATCCGGAGGGTTGGCATCTTCTTCGTTGGGAGCTCGTTCTGGTCTTCTTCATGGTGGAGACGCCCACCTGCCCGTCCTGAGGTGAACGGCGTGCGCGGTACAAAAAATCCTCCGCCTCCCCTGGACTTCCGACGATGTGCTTTTCCTCTGGCGTTTCGCAATGGGGGGCGCTGACTGGGGGAGCGAAGAACACTGCACCACTCGTGCACATGAGGGGCCCTACAGAGGTCCCCTGGGGCCAAAAAGGGACACGGCAGGTGTACGTCTCTTCGCCCCCACCCCATGTACAGTGGAAACCCATACCAAGATACACCCTGCTTGCCATGGATGGTCTTGGGTTTCGATGGTTTGTCATGCAACGCGCGCAACAAGTCAGGCGACGTTCTGGGGTCTCAGGGTTGGGCTTCTTGTGTAAGGTTTCTTGTGGTCGAGCTCCTGCTGTTGTGGGGCCCGCGGGCTGAGTCCCCGTCGACATCGGGGGTCTGGGCCTCCCATCTCACCTCGCTCCTCCCGCCTCCCGCCTCCTCCTCCCGCCTCCCGCCTCCCGCCTCCGCCGGACCTCCCAGATCCCCCAGCTTCCTCTCTCCTCCCGCCTCCCTTCTCCCTTCCTCCTCTTTGTCCTGTCTTGGGGTCGAGCTCCTGCCGCACCGTCCCCCCACGTAAGCAGCGCCCGAGTTCCACACCATCAAGCTGCCTCGGAACATCCCGTATACCACGGCCGCCAGACCCAAAGAGCGTGCCGGGATACTTTCCATCATCATCCTCCATCCCCTCCCTCCTCCTCCTCCATCTCCTCATCTCCTCCTCCCTTTCCTCCTCCTCCTCCTCCTCCTCCTCCTCCTCCTCCTCCTCCTCCTCCTCCTCCTCCTCCTCCTCCTCCTCCTCCTCCTCCTCCTCCTCCTCCTCCTCCCTCTCTTCTCCTCCTCCTCCTCCTCCTCCTCCTCCTCCTCCTCCGCCTCCTCCTCCTCCTCCTCCTCCCTCTCCTCCTCCTCCTCCTCCCCCTCCCTCCTCTCCTCCTTCCTCCTCCTCCTCCTCCTCCTCCTCCTCCTCCTCCTCCTCCTTCCTCCTCCCTCTCCTCCTCCCTCTCCTCTTTTCCTCCTCCCTCTCCTCCTCCTCCTCTCCCTCTCCTCCTCCTCCTCCTCCTCCTCCTCTCCTTCCCTCCCCCTCCTTCCTCCTCCTCCTCCTCCTCCTCCTCCTCACTGTCCTCCCTCCCCTCCCCCTGTTCCTCCTCCCCCTCCAACTCCCGCTCGGATGCTCGCCCGCTCGCTCGCTCGCTTCTCCTCCTCCCTCTTCTCCTCGTCCCCCTCCCTCCTCCTCCTGCTCCTCCTCCTCTCCTCCTCCTCCTCCGCCTCCTTCTCCTCCTCCTCCTCCTCCTCCTCCTCCTCCTCTTCCTCCTCCTTCTCATCCTCCTCCTCTCCCTCTTCCATCATCCCTCCTCCTCCTCCGCCTCCTTCTCCTCCTCATCCTTCTCCTGTCCCTCCTCTCTTCCTCTCCCTCCTCCTCTCCTCCTTCTCCCTCCTCCCTCCTCCGCCTGCTCCTCCTCCCGGGTATCCCCCTGCCGTCGCATCCTCGACGAATGGCGACTGCATGCCGCGGCCACCAGGCCCACAGGGCAGGCGTCGACCTGCACACTGGTCCTGACGATGTTGTGGGGTGTTTTCGTTTCGCTGTCGCTGTGCAGCAGAGGCGGATCGAAGACGAAGCAAGGGAGAACGAAGGCAGAACGAAAGCCAAAGCACTGCTTAGGCCGATCCTTGCCGCAGGGTGAAGGTGCTCCCGGGTTGGCCAGGCTCGCGTTCTTGGGATCGTTCGAAGCGGCATGATTTCAGCGAGCGGCCCTAGGAAGAGGTCCCGGCCCCCTCGCCCGGGGCAAGTTCAAGACGGACCCAAGCGGCCAAAGTCGAGGGGAAACGCACGGATGTGGAAAAAACGTGACACCCTTGCGGCAGCAGACCCTGAAAAGCTTCTCCTGTGGCGGAGAGAGGGGCGTAGACAGGTTCCTACAGCGACGCAGACGGACAACAGGAGACAATGGCAGACAATTGGAGACATTGGAAGTCAACGGGAGACCACTGGAGATAACGGGAGACAACGGAAGACAATTGGAGTCACTGGGAGTCAGCGGGAGACAATGGGATAGCATGGGACACCATGGGAGAGAACGGGAGACGACGGGAGGACACCGGAGACAACGGGAGGAATCCGGAGACAACGGGAAACAATGGTATGCCACGTGCGACAGCGGAAGACAACGGGGGGCTCTGTGAGACAACGGGAGACATCCGGAGACAAGTGGCGTCCGACCGATTCCAAATCGCGGTTGCCCAGACTTGGTTTCTTGGGAACATGCCGTAGGATGTTTGAAGACAATTTGTTTAGGGAATGTCGTTTGAGGTATGGCCCACCTCCCTCCTCTCCTCCCCCGCCCTCCTCGACCCTCCTCTTCCTCCTCTCCTCCCACTCCCTCCTAGGATCCAGCTCTTGCGAGGTTCAGTTCAGCATCGGCGCTGGTATAGCCCTTGGCACTCCCCTCTTCCCTCGGTGAAGCTATATCGCGTCTCGCTACTAGAAGTGATGTCACGCCCCTGGACCGTCCAGTGCGGCATCCGAAGAGGATTCAAACCAATAGGATTCCACTGAGAGCCTAAGAGGGCTGCAACCTGAACCCAGTAAGACCCCAATCGGAACCCAGTCGGATTCCGATGTGGTTCGTAGATTATCCCGGTAGGATCAGGGCTGTCTCGGGGATTCGGACTGTCGGCGGGGGCTCTTGCCTCCGAAAAGGCCTTCTTGAGGCCTCTATTGGGTGTTGCTCCTCTTGCCCGCACCGCCGCCCGCACGCCCCAGCGGAATGTCGTCAACAGCTGAGTTCTATCATTAAGTCGGGTATGTCCCTCTACATGAGGAGTCTAGTCAAAAATAGTCGACAAGATAGTCTGGGGATATTGTTTTGAGCAATAGTTTAGCATCTTGATGTGTCCGGATATGTTTCATTGTTCGTCACAAATCCCCTTGTGTGGCGGACATGCCCGACCTCATTCAATCGCTGCCAACGATCTCGCTCGGCGGTCCCCCCTCCTCGGGAACGTCTTAATGGCATTGTCTGCGGCGGAGAACGCCAGTGGGGATCGACAATTGTTACCCCCCGTTCGCTGGGTTCGGTTGCAGGCATAATCATGGCCTAATCGGATATGCTCCCGCTTCATTTCGCTTGGTGATCGTTTTGTTATTCGTTGTTTTGCCGATTGGCGCCGGCCCCCAACCCTCTTTCCCCCCCGGAGCAGATCTTGGCTGTTTGGGGCGCCTGTTTCGAGCAGGTGGAGTCTCCCCTCGTAGGACCCAGTGCTGCAAACAGTCGCACGAAGCAGAGGTCTGGAGCCAGACCCCCCCCTCCCCCCCCTTCCGCCCAATGTCGAAACGCCGAATAAAAAACCGCTTACTTACCCCTGCTAAACTGGTCGAGAGGTCCCTTAATCGGGCTGAGTAGCCGATCGTCGTGCTTACGAAGACCTCCACGGAGTTGCCGCCCAGCTCCCTCCTCTCCTCCCCTCTCCTCTCTTTCCCCTACTGCCTCCTTCCTCTCCTCGCTTTTTGTTCCTCTCCTCCCCCTCCCTCCCCCTTCGCTCTCCCGCTCCCATCGCTCCTCCCACCTCGACCCTTCCCCTCCCTCTCCTCCTCATCCCTCCCTCCCTCCCTCCCCCTCCTCCCCTCCCTCCCCCGGCGGATCCATCAATCCTCCTCGACACTTCTCCTCCCCTGTCCTCCCCATCATCATTCCCGTTCTCTTGCCCACACCGACACCCACAGCCCACAGGAGGCAGTTATCTCAACAGGACATACGAGGGCAAACGGCACAAGTACGAGTAGCCTCGGCCACGGCCGGACGTGATGCTCGTGCCCAGGTGTTTGGGTAATGCCACTTCGCTTCGCGATCGGTCCTATCCTACCCTGACCCTCACCCCTCGGACCCTGTGTGAACGAGCCGTACTTTTCAATATGATGCAAGATGTACAGTGTTGTTTGTCCCACTTATTGGAATAGAACTACCCGGCAGCCCAGAGGAATATGGGAGCTTTTGGCGCTGTAAGCGCGTTGGCCAACATGCAATTGCAGCGAGACATGCAACATGCAAATGCTGGACCGTATCTCTGCCTCTTCGGTCTCCACAGTGCAGCAACAGCATGACCCACCAGCCACCGTTACCCCTCCATCCCCCGTTTAGTCAAGACGCTGAAATAAGGAACAGTTTGGGTTCGGAAGAGGCTGGATATTCCTTAGGTCCTTCCATGTGTGCTCCTCCATCCCTCCTCGTGAAGGAAGATGGCTTTGGGGGCCTACAAGAAGCTCCGTTCCTTATTTAGCGTTCCTTATTTCGGCGGCCCGACTGTAATGCAATGTTGGCGGCGCGCCAGGGGGGGAAGTGTGAAGAAAGAGAAGGCCTTCTCGGAAGGCGGCGGGACTTCTCAGAAGCCCTGACGCATTCTGATCAGTTGTTTGTGCCTTCGGGGGAGGCGTAAAGAACACCTCCCAGCAGGCCCAGGGGCTTCCGAGCCTCCCGAGAAGGCCCGCCCCTCCTCACTCCCACCCCCCGCTCGCCGCCGATGAATGTCACCCTCCCCCCCCCCTCGACCCCGCCCCTCCTCCTCGACCCCCCCTCCTCGGCCCCCCCCCCCCTCCTCGACTCCCCCCTCCTCGGCCCCCCCCCCTCGACCCCCCCCCCTCCTCGGCCCCTCCCCCCCTCCTCGACCCCCCCTCCTGGACCCTCCAACGCCCCTCACCCGCCTCCTCGCCCCCCCCCCCCCCCCCCGCGCCAGGCCGCGGCCGCAGGCCCCTCCGCGGCGGCGCGCCCATGCCCGCGCCCGGGCCTCCCGGCGCCCGGCCCCCCCGCGGCGAAGGCGGGCGTCGGAGGGCGCCAACCAGCGGAGGGCACCAGCGGTCCCAGGCCCCCTCGAGGGTGTTCTCTCGAGCCAGGGTCAAGTCGGGCCTATCCCTCCACCGGGGGGCTGTTGAAGAATAGTTAAAGGATAGTCGGGGGACGATTTTTTTAACCATGTTCAAGTAATATGTTTGAGTATGGTTTGACTGTTTTTTAATATTCCTCCCAAATCCACCTGTAGGGGGACATGCCCGACCTTTTGATCGAACAATGACATCAACATGAAAACTCGGAGGTCCGCGCCGATCCGAGAAATCCGCGCGGACCTCCGAGTTGTTATGTTTCTGACATGCTTCGTTCCCCTATCATCGGCCCGGGCTTGGGCCCAGGATCCTGCAGGATCTTGCAAGGCCTGACTGACCCAGGTCTGGATCGACCCAGAAAGAAGATCCCCGAGCTTAGAAAGTGTTATTTACCCTCTGGGCCGTAATGCGCGTCATGCCCCCTCCCCCTTCTCCCCCCCATAACGTAATGCCCCCCCCCCTCCCTCAGCGCGTCTCCGGCATTGCCGCAGTGCGTCCAGCACCACAGTCTGGAGGGGGGGTGGAGCGCTACGCTATATGCCCCCTCCCGTCCCCCCCCATTGACGCCCGTTCTGCCCGCGAATAAAAACATGCGCTCCTCGCGTTGTGAAAAAATGACGATGGGAGGTTTTTCGCCGTGTTCGGCCTCCATGGACCTTGACCAGGCCCCGGGGCCGTCCACAGACTCAGGCTGAGAAGCCGATCCCAGGGACGGGGTCCATACCTCTGGTGATTTTTTTATTTATTGTTTTGCCGATCGGCGCGGGCCCTCGCAACCCCCCTCCCCCCCGTGGAGTAGGTCTTGGCTGTTTTTGGCGCCTGTTTCGAGCAGGTGGAGTCTCCCTCGTTGGACGCACGGTCCCAAACAGTCGCCCTAGGCAGAGGTCCGGAGCCAGACCCCCCCCCTCCCCCCCCCGTCCGCCCAACGCCGAAGCGCCGAGCGCGAGTGAAAGAAACGTTCACCTGGGCGTTCGACGTTGCGCATCAAACCGCGACGCGGGGCGCCCGCGGTCGGCCCACACCGAGCCTCCGCCGCTCCCGCCTCGCGGCATCCTCCGCCCCCCAGGTCTCGGGCGCAGGCCTCGTCGAGCGCTCAAGGCCCGCCCCTGCCAGGTTTCCACGAGGCGGCGCCACTCGCCGAGCTCGCGCGCCACGGCAGGGCCCGAAACTCCGTCTCGTCGCGTGCTCTCGGCCGCCCTGCCTCGTCGGGCGAGGCCCCTCCTCCTCCTCCTCGGCCTCCTCCTGCTCCTCCTCCTCGGCCTCCTCCTCCTCCTCCTCCTCCTCCTCCTCCTCCTCCTCCTCCTCCTCCTCCGCCTCCTCCGCCTCCGCCGCCTCTTCCTCCTCGAGCCTCGGCCCTCGAACCGCCTCGATGCCCGGCCGGCTTCAGCCCAGCGAGGGCCGGCCTCGCGCGAGGGGGTCACCTCGTTGAGGCCAACTGCCCCGAGGTGGTGCGGCGGAGGCCGGGCCGATCCCAGACATCCATAGGGGGCCACATGCGAACCCCTCCCCTACCCCCCACGGTTTCTGAGGGGCAGGGGTAGGGTTCACTTCGCTCGGGAGCTCCCGAATCAAGTGAACCCCACCGTCCCTCAGAAACCGTGGGGCGTAGGGGTAGGGTTCGCACGTTGGCCCGTAATCCAGCGTCTCGAACAAATCGAGACGTAGGTTTTTCGTGGTCCTCGGCCTCTCAAGACCCTCAGCGGGCCTTGTGGCCCGCAAGCGACGGCTCGAGATGACAAGCCAGTCTTGGGGACGTGGTCGAGAGGGTCTGGGGCCCGTGTTTCGCAAGAGTCGAGACGCCGGAAACGACAGGGTCTTTTCTTTGCCGTTTCCGTTTTACCGTTCTGATTGTTGGTCCAAGCGTTGTTTTGTTCCCGGTTCCGTCGCCGTTGTTTTTTTTCCAATGTCGGTTCCAATGCCTGTGATGATTTTTCCTGTGTTTTGCCGCTTCCATGTTCGACAACCGCATCCCCTGGATACAGTGGAGGTCCATGCCAAGAAACACCCTGCTTGCCTGCTGCCTCCAGGGTGCCCTGGGTTTCTTGTGTTTGGAGCGTTTTGTGATGGAAAGCGCGACGTCCCCACACCAAAAATCCATGGGTTGGGTTTATTGTGGAAGGTTTCTTGTGGATCGACGTCCACTGTAATAAAGCATCCCCCTTTTCCCTTTTGTATATCTTGATCTACGGAAGTGAGTGCGGTTCAACTGCCAGAGCAGGCGGAGAGGCCGAACTTTCTTACCCCTTTCCAAAGCTTCTATCGTAGCTTTAAGTCGGGCGTGTTCCTCTACAAGAGGAATATTCAAACATAGTCAGAAATAATATGGGTGCATGTTTAAAAGCATATGTTGGGCATGGTTTGCGTATGAATGATTTGTCGTCCAAGCTCCGCCTGTAGGGGGACATGCCCGACTTAATCGTAGCATGTTATGGTTACGTGTTTTTGGAAACGCTTTTGGGATGGACCGAAAACATTCGGCGTCGAGCGAAGGAGGGGAGTGAGAAGGAGAAGGCCTTCTCAGAGAGCGGTCAGAAGCCCTCGCGCCCTCTGTGTGTTAGTCTTCGGGGCAGGCTCAGGAAACGTCTTCGCGGATAACGCCGGGGGCGGTCCGTGCCGCCGTTCGTGTTGCGAGGTCCGACTGCATGTGAATTCATGCAGGCACCTTGGGCACCTCCCTTCGGGTTGTGTCGCCCAGGTGTTCTGTCCAGAAAGCGTCTCTCAACGCCAGGGGACTTCCGGACCCTCTGAGAGGGCCTTCTGCTTCTCACTGCCCCCCCCGCCCCGCTCGCCGCCGAAGCCTGGCCTGTTCCCGTCGTGGCGCTCCTCACGGTCGTGGTTTTTGACGGCGTGCGCCAATGCGGGGCACAGGCTGGGCCACCACATGCTGCACCCTGCGAAATGCTTTAGAAATCATGGGTTCAGAAATTCATAGTCTCAGAATTTGAATAAAAACCCCGGACTAACATTAAGATACAAATATTGGGACTAACCCAGGACTAACAGTAATAACCCAGGAATAACCCAGGACTAACATTTATAATAACCCAGGACTAACACTAATAACCCAGGACTAACCCAGGACTCCCAGGAATATGAATTGAATTCAAATATTAGGATCTACATTGAAACATTAAGAATAATCGAGATTCTGGCCGAAAACTTGGGTTTTCTTAAACATCGCCTAGAGTGTAGCATCGGTGCGGGGGAGGAGGGCGGAGGGAGGAGGGGTGATCCGCTGGCTGCCGCCTGCTTGGGGGGCGGGGGGGGCAGACGGCGCGGTGGCCGCCCTGCGTTGGGGTGGTGGATCAGGGGGGACCCTCGGGGGGACTCGGAGGAGAAAAAGTTCCCCATACAGCGTGTTTCTTTATTGCTTGGGGAATAATGGGCATTAGAGCCCCTGCCCCCCCCCTCCCCCCCTATAACGTAACGCCCCCCCCCCCCTCCCCCAGTGCGCTCCGGGCACTGCCGCCGTGCGCTCGGCGGGGGGGAGGCCTTACATTATACCCCCCCTGGCCCCTCCGCCCCCCCCCTATAATATGCCCCCTATCGCCGAAAACAGAGAAACGCGCTCGAGGTTCTCCATGCCTCTACCTCTTCCTCGTCGTCCCCTCTTGGGTGCCTCCTCGGAGGCCCGCGTCGGCACCGCCGGATTCGCTTGGACATTCTGGTCAGAACGCCCCCTCCTCCCCTCCCCCCTCCCCCTCCCCCTCCCCCTCCCCCCCCTCCTCCCCCTCCCCCTCCCCCCTCCCCCTCCCCTCCTCCTCCTCCTCCTCCTCCTCCTCCTCCTCCTCCTCCTCCTCCTCCTCCTCCTCCTCCTCCTCCTCCTCCTCCTCCTCTCCGGGGGAGTAGCTGTATCGGCACATCTTTTGGTTCCCCCAGTGCTCCTTGGTGTGGTGGATCAGTGGGAGCTCGTGGTCTTGGCATCGCTCGGAGGCGTGGACTTTCTCACGGCGAGGGCCATCGAGGAGCCTCCTGCATCACCTGGCAGAAGAGGCACGCGCAAAGCCGAGCAATGCACGGGGGAAGGACGCCCGAGCGATGGCCAGGTGGGGACTCGTGGTGACCGCACGGCTTCTGGGCTGGCTCGCCGAGGGCGTCGCGGGCGTCGGGGTCTCCCCGAGGCCCCAGGGCCACGCGGAGGCCTAGCGAAGCGGCGAGGTCTGGGTCAGCCAGGGCGCCGGATCCTGCAGGATCCTGCGAAGGCTCCCTCTGGCTGACCCGGGTCAGGGAGCCGCTCGTGGCCGCGAGGCGGCCGCGCGTATTGGCTGACCCGGGTTTGCGAAGACCTGCGTTGCAGTTTTTTTTCTTGCATTGCAGTTTTTGGTTTCCTGCTGACCCGGGTCTGGATTGACCCGGGTCAGAAGATCCCCGACGTTTGGGCAGGGATCGTCGCCCCGTGCCGCCAGGGGCAGTGCCCGCGCGGGGACGAGTCGCAGCCTGCCCAGCAGCTGTGGCTGTGTCGGTTTGGGGTAGCGTCTGCTGTCGGGCCGCGCGGCCATGTGTTCCGTATCTGGGTTCGGGCGTGCCAGCTTCCGAGGTCACCGCGCGGTCTCCCGAGGCGGGGGTATACACTTCAGGCGATGCTTAAGAAAACCCAAGTTTTCGGCCAGAGTCTCGATTATTCTTAATTTTTCAATGTAAATTCAAGATTTTGATAGAAGTTCTGGGTTTTTATTCAAATTCTGAGACTATGAATTTCTTAACCCATGATTTCTTAAGCATCTCGCAGGGTGTATCCATGGCCACCGCCTTGGACATCGATTTTCCGGGATCTCGGCAGGCGGTGGATAGGGATGTCTCACAGATTCGGTTCTTGGGGGCCCAAACATCGGGAGGGAGCAGCTGCACAGGGGGGGCCCACGCCAAGAAACCCCATCTGCTTGCCTCCAGGGTGCCCTGGGTCTCCTGGGTTCCGGTGGTTTTGCTGTGGATGGCAGGATGTTCCCACACCAACAATCTTTGGAAGTCCTGGGGTCGCAGGGTTGGGTTTCTCGTGGAAGATTTCTTGTTGGCTGGCCTCCACTGTCTCAGTCACGAGTTGCCGTTGAGATCCCGTCGGTGTGTTACTCGTGTTTAACCGCAGGCCCTGTATTTCCTGAACAGTAGCACGCAGATAGGTTCCCCATGGCTGCGTGGGCATGGTACCCAGACAAATGTGTCCATATTCAGGGTCCAAAGAGGTCGGTTACTCGGATGATGTACATGGATACCCCCCATTAGTGCAGAGTACATGGTCCTGAGCATGTTCCCGAGCAAGCGCCGAGCGCCGACGAAGATTGGCAATGGGAGGGCAGAGGAATCTTTTGCGGGCACTTCGCATGTCCAATTGGCATCGATCGGCCTTCAGGGTGGGTGGGTTCGGGGCTCTTTTGAGACCCCCACTGTATACGTATTTTTGTTTTGAACCCCCCTCTGGTCCCAGGAGATCGGTTACACGCGCGGCGGATGTGAAGCCTTGAGGGGGTTGAGCGCAGTGAAAAAATCCCCCGCCTCGAAGCGGTCCGTCACCGCACCACGGCTGGGGAGACAAACAGGTACCGATACCGCTACTGCCCATACACCTTCCACAGGGTACCCTTTGCCCAGGTTTTCGAGGCGACCCAGCCGTGGCGACGAGGGCTCTCCAGGAGGCCCGACGCGGCGAAAACGAGGCGCAATGGAAGCGGTATGGGTATCCTTTCGTCCTCTGAGGTTTGCACCTGTACAGCGTAGCCACTCTTTCTGGCCTTCGGGCCATAGTTCTGGCCTCGGGCGGCCGTTCGGGACGATTCCGGGCACCCCTGGAACGCTCTCGACGAGGCGCGGTTGACGGAAACCACATGGGAGTGCGAAATTCTCCGAAAAGTCAGGGAAACGTTGGAATATTCTGACTTCGGCATGCCTCTGAGTCCTGGTCTGCGCTGGCTGCGGCTCACCCTTTTCTCGGCGGCGTGCCCAGGGGGGGAAGTGAGAAAAGGGCGGGCCTTCGCAGACGGCTCTCGGAGGGCCTCGGGCCTTCAGATCAGTGGTCTAGGCCTTTCCCGAAGACGCAAACAACATGTTCCAGAAGGCCAGAGGGCTTCTGAGAAGTCCCGCCGCCTTCTGGGAATGCCCGCCCTTTTGCCACTCCACCCCACGCTTGCCGCCTACAGTCGGCCCGAGGTACACAATGAGATCGAGGTCGGTTCGGGGAGGGTACCCTGGTGTTCTTCGTGTTTGTTGGATGCTCTTGTGCACTCTGGGCAGGGTACCCTTGGATGTTCGTTGCGTTTTGGCTTGCGGATGGTGTCGCGCTCGTGAGGGATGTTTTTGTTTGATGTGTTTCTGTCCTAGGTTTACGTCGCGCACGTCCCTCTACAGGAGAAATTATTCGAGAATGGCAAACGAATTCTGGAGACGATGCCTCGTCTTTTTTGACCATTTCGGATTGCTATTTGGCTATTTTCACTTGTTCTTCCGAAATCCGCCTGTTAGGAGGACATGCCCGACCTAATCCTAGGTTCGTCGTCTGATGATGATGATGATGATGATGACGATGATGATGATGATGATGATGATGCTGATGATGATGATGATGATGATGATGATGATAATGATAATGATGATGATGATGATGATGATGATGATGATGATGATGATGTGAATGATAATGATGGTGATGCTGATGATGCTGATGATGATGACGGTGATGATGTTTTGTTGATGGTGATGATGATGATGCTGATGATGATGATGATGATGATGATGATGATGATGATGATGATGATGATTATGTTGTCAAGTATGTTGGTGATGATGCTGATGCTGATGTTGATTATGCTGCTGATGATGCTGATGATGACGATGATACGGATACTGATGCTGATGCTGCTGATGATGATGACGATTATCGTCCTCCTCCCAGCTTCCGGACCTCCAGGGGCCAACGGCGTCGCCCCGCTGCCGCTGGAGGGCGCCGCGCGCTGCGCGGGCCTCCGCGCGCTGCCGCGGGCGGCGCCCGCGGCGGCGTGCCTGCTGCTAGCGGCGTGTGGCGCCGCGGCCGCGGCCGGGCGCGCTGCTGCGCCGCGGCCGCGGCTCCGCGGCGCCCCACCCGAGGCGCGGACGACGCCAGCGGCGGCGGCGGCGGCGGCGGCGACGACGGCGGCGACGACGACGACGGCGGCGGCGACGGCGACGACGACGACGACGACGGCGGCGACGACGACGACGACGGCGGCGGCGACGGCGACGGCGACGGCGACAACGGCGGCGGCGGCGACGACGACGACGACGACGACGATGGCGGCGGCGACGGCGGCGGCGGCTGGCGCGAATAGTGACGTGACCAGAGGGTGTCCGTATCCGCGGCCTCGTGGGCCAGGCCCCCTTGGCCACGAGCCCGCGGCTACGGGGTAACATGCCCGCGCCGCTCGTGAGTGGCGCGGGCCCGAGCGCCATGCGCTCATGGCAGGAGCTGGCTCGGGCGTGGCCCTGCAGCGGCTGCCAGCGGCCCCGCGGCTGCCGCAGTTGGCGACGCCGACGCGGCAGGAGCTGGTGAGGACCTGCGTAACCGTGCTGACATGGGGCAGAGCGCATGGAGTCTTGAAGTTCGTCTTCTGAGCCGCCTGCCCGTCAGCCTTCAGGGGGGGGGGGGCTCTTGCACTCAACCAGCCTTGCCTCTTGCCTGCCGCCAGTGCCGCACCCAGCCGATGTTGCAGTCTCTGATTGTCTCCATTTAGCTCGGGCCAACCTCTGGCGGAGTAGAGGCCTTCCATTCTGTTTAAGACGTCCTGGTTCCCAGGCGAAGGATATATCGGTTTGGTCGCGATGGTCGTCGCTGCTTGCTCGCGCCGATGCGGTTGCGTCGCCGTCCTCGTCGTTTCAGCTGGACCCCAGGCCGGGCAGGACTTTCTCCAGAGCTGCCTGCGCTTTATTTCTGCCTCCCGTGCTCTGTCCAGTTGTGCAGCTTGGGCCAGGGGAAAGCAGGAGTGCACCTTCTGCCACTGTGGTTCAGCTTCCTTCGGCACATGTGGATGATAGGCTTGAATCCCTTCCCCATGGGCGAGGTTTGCACGTCTCTTCGCAGGATACGCTTGGCGAGGAGGAGAGATCGGTTCGTCCTCCTCCTCCGATCTGCCAGCCTGTCTGTCCCCACCATTTGCCAGATTGTCTCGGTTTTAGGTTTCAGAATGCGGGCGTCGGCCACGGCGCCCATCTGCAGCCCGCGCAGACCTGGATCCTCTTTCAAGCTGGCCTGTGACAAGGATGGAGGAGTGAGGCCTGGTCCTAACAGTGTTGAGTTTTGCATCCAGACCATCAACTGCAACCCCATGGGGCACGATGCGAGTCCTGCTGGAGAGTTCCCCACGCGCCCAGGTCGTTCTTTGTCAGGAGCGCCGCTTGACAGGGGAATATGCGCAGGCTGCCAACTCGCGGTGCATCAAGAGGGGCTGTAAGTCCCTCTGGTCTGATGCGGAGACGACTGGGGCGGACACGTCGGCTTGAGCTGCGATCTCTGTCAGGGATTGGATTGGCCCTCAGGCGCTGCAGGGTGGGGGAGATTGTCCCGGGTAGATGTCATGCGGGGTCCGTCCATCTTTCTGGCACCTTTTCCTATCGTTGTCGCGTCATCATATCTCTACCACGCTGAAGAATTGTCCGATCGCAACCATGGCATTCTGTCTCGGCTCGGCACGTTTCTTTCCAGCGGTGAGTTGCCTTTTGCTGCCGGGGCGGACTGCACTTTTGGGCGCCCGCTCCATGAAGACTCGGAGTTGTTCGCAGAGTTGAGGGGAGTTCTCGCGGTCCCTGCCTCGCGTGTCCTTTTCCCTCCTGGGGCGCCTTCTGTATTTGACTGCTTTGTTTGCTCGGGGGGGCTGGCCAACGGAGTGAGAGAGTGCGCGGTTGTTTTCTCGACGTCCTTGACCCCCCACCGGCCCGTTAACTCAACTTTCTACCCGCAGCTCGCCGTTTTGCAGGTGTTGTCGTTTCGCGAACGTCTCCCGCTTCCAGCGGGGGCGGTCTTCGGCCCCCGCCCTTGTGGGCCCTCGTGGGCTCGAGAGTTTGACCTTGCCAGGGTTGCCCTGGACATGGTGGCCAATCAAGATTTCTGGGGGGCCCACAAGCTCTTGGGTCCGTTGTATCAGGCCTGGGCGGACCGTGCCGAGTCCGACCTCGCGCCGATTGCGGGGGCCGAGTTGCCCAAGAAGGGCTGCCGAGGGTCGGGGCCTCAGCTGGTCTGGCACTCGCCCCTCACTGCTGACGGCCGCTGCAAGTACCCTGAGTGTCGAGTACCCTTAGTTCTTGCTCGCCGTGACGGCGACCGCCAGTTGTCGGACAAGCTTGGTTTCTTGCTGTGCCTGCCGCCGATGCGCGTCGCGCAGCGCACGGGAGCCAGGTCCAATGTTTTTCCAGAGCTGCTCGCATTGTTGGCGCCTCCAACCAGTCGGTCGAAGATCTAGTTGACTTCGAGTCTGAAGTCAAAGAGGAGCTCGAGGCCGCCAACAAGGTTTGCGCCAAGCAGTCGCGCATGGACTGGCCCGCCTGGCTGCACGTTGGCATAGCTTCGGGCTCGAAACGAGTCCACCAGATCACTGGAGATCCCACCCCCTGGACCCCGACCACCGCGCCTAGTGCCAAAGGGAGCACGGTGGCCGATCCCCTCTCGTTGTTGAGGGCGGAGGGTGCTCGTTTCAGTGCGGCGTGGGGTCAGGGGCCACGGGCTGAGCCCTCTGGTCAGTTCCAGGGGCCCCCTCCCCCGTCTCAGTGTGGGCGACATCCGATCGGCCTCGAAGCGGTGTAAGCCTGGTTCCGCGGTGTCCCTGGATGGGTTCCACTGTCGCCATGTTTCGCCCCTGGGAGATCCAGCGCTCGAGTGTCTCAGCATGGTCTTCGCGCTCATCGGAGCGGTGGGGCGCCTGCCGCCCTAGACTGCCGTCGTGCTCCTCGCCCTCCTCTCGGAGCCAGGTGGCGGCTACAGGCCGATCGGGGTGTTCTGCTCGTGGCGCAGGGTCTGGGGGCGTCTTAGAGGGCCCCTGGCCCTGCACTGGGAGCAGCAGCACCCCAGGAGGTACTGGGCCGCTGGCAAGCATCGAGGCGCGGCTGATGTTTGGTGGAGACAGGCAGTTCGGCCTGAGGCTGGAGTCAAGAGGGGAGATGCGTCTTGCAGTGTCCTTTTGATTTGAAGGAGTTGCATGGGCGCATCGCCTCGTCTGCTTTGCAAACAAAAAGTGCTCGACGCAAGCTTTCGCTTGCCGTTGCTCGCGGGGCTCTCTTCGCCTATCGCCGCGGGCGGTTCCTCGCCGTTGAAGGCTTTTGTTTTGAGTGGCGCGGTGGCGGGGCGCAGTTTCGCCGCCGCGTTTACCCGAGCTCGCGGGATGGAGGGCGACGGCAGCATCATTCACCAGCCCATCCTAAAACTTAACGCCTACATTGGCGATCTAGGCCTGTCCAGCGATGGCCCCCATCGACGGTTATTGCATATGTTGTGCGCTGTGCCCGACAGTTGAAGGGCGTTGTCGAAGATGTGTTGGGTTGTAGCTTCGCCTTGGACAAGACTTGCACTGCTGCCTGAGCCGCGGGGGGGCAGGTGTCGCCCCAGTTGGCCGAGCTATCGACCATCCCGCTTCCTCTGCTGTCGGCCCAGGCGTGGACCGCGCGGCTGGTCGGGCGCCCAGGCCAGGTGGTCGGCGTGCCAAGCTCAAGTCTAGGCTAGCAGCACCCTGCAGGCGGAGTAAGCGCTTGCGCAGACAGAATAAGGTGCTCAAGAGAGGCGCCATCATCAAGGTTTTCTCTGCTGGCCCTCTTGATGGGGCGAGTTACGGGAGTGCGATCACTGGGGCCTCAGAGTATGACCTCCCCCCCCCCCCCCCCTTTCGTCGCAAGCTCTTCGGCACTGTCCGTCCGCTTGCGAAGCTTCGTTCGCTCGCCGCGTCGGCGATTTTCGAATCCGACCCGCGCTGGGGGACCGCTTGCTCGCCCATCATCAGGTGGTCGAACGAGATTCGCCTCGCCCAGACTGGCGCGCCCCCCTGGGCGAATGGTCTGCCTGAGCTCTGGCGGGCTTGAGCGGAAATGTTTCGTTTGGTTTCTTGTTCGCGGCGCAGGGTGGCTGGCCCACTCACCGCCCTGCGCATGCCGCTTTCTAGGATTGGTTGGGCGATGTCGGATTGAATGAGCATCAGAGACGACAGGGGCTTAGACATTCCTCTTGGTCTGTTCTCCACCACCCTTGTCAGAGAACTTTGCAGGTGCGCCGACTTTCGCACGTTGGAAAGGGATTCTGCTAGCAAGCGAGGGGTTAAGTACCGCCTGTGCTATGAGATTGTCCAGGAAGCCCTTTCGAGTAAGAAGTTTAGCGCCCTGGAGAAAGGTCGGATCCGAGCTTTCGCCACCGCGGCCTTTCTCACTAAGGAGCGAGCGCCCCAGCTCGGCTACCAGACGGACGTCGGCTGCCAGTTCTGCGGGCAGCCGGGCAACATGTTTCACGGGCCGTGGAAGTGTCAGGCCGCATGCGTTATGAATTGTCGAAATTCCTCGGCCGTGCCAGAAGAAACCGCGGCGGCGTTCGGAGTTAAATGAGGAGGTGATCGTGCTTCGCCCCTCCCCTTTCATCTCGGGTGCTTTCGCCCGTCCCGCCGACATTTGCCAGAGGCCTTCGACGGATGCGGACGTTGGTCCGACTGTCGCGCGGCACGACGCCGATCAGGCACCCCCTCTTGGAGGCCCCCTGGGCAGGCAGCTCCTGGGGGGGGCCTCTTCATAGACGGCGCGTGCGCGAGACACCCCATCCGTGAGTTAAGCAGAGCTGCCTCGTGTGTCGCGATGGTTGACAGCGCTGGTCGGCGCGTTTCGGAATTCAGAGATACTGTCTCGCCCCCTATCCCCAGACCCCTCGGAGTGCTGAGTTTTCGGCCTACACGCGGGCGCGCATGCTCAGCGCGCCTGGCGACGCGGGCGATTGGCCTGACTGTCGCAATGTTGTCAAGCTTGCCAGCCTGCCGAAAAAAAAAGGCCCACCTTTCGGGCGAGCGCGCGCATGCTGGCGCCTACCTTCAGCGCTACCCCACTTCCTCCCCCTTCCTTCCCGCGCAGAAGGTCGCCGCTCACAACGACATAGATGGGCAGGGCATCTCCGCGTGAAGAGAGATTGCGTAGGCAGGGCAACGACTGGGCGGATGCAGGCGCAAAGCATGCCATAGGTTTGCATGCCAGGTCAGCCGAAGCCAATGCGGATACGGACACTAATCAGAGCGGCTCGCTGCATTTTGCGTCTCGCGGCCCGCCTCCTGCCCTTGTAGGGCCCCATCGACTTGTCTGGGGTTGAGCTGATCCGGGAACCCTCAGCTGCCTTTGAGCCGTTGCCACATGCTTGGAGACCGTGGTCTGGGGCGTGGAGATGCGAGGCTTGCTTGCGGGGCACTGGAGCCTTGGTTGAGCCCCTTCCTGGTTCCTGTTGTGGTCGCAGTAAAGTAAACGAGGGCCGCCTTTCGGCTCCTGAGCATCGTGTCATCGCTTCCGGTCGTTCGGAATCCAGTGTTCGACGTATCTGCGCGCGTTACTATTGCTACCCCTCGGGGCAGAGGGTTCGAGATTTATCGTTCAAATGTGTTCAGCTACTCGCTCGGGCTGGAACACCCATTGCAACCGAGGCCTTCACCCACAGTACTGCGAGCGTGAGGTGAAGGTCCACGCAGGCAACACCATGAGCCTTTTCGGCTCCTCGGACGGTGTCCAAGTCGAGCAGCAGACCGATGAGGAGGAGGTCCCCGTTCCCTCGGTCGAGCCCCCCCCCCGTCCTCGGAGGTGGGGGATGCTCGTGAGAGGCGCCGGGCCGCGCTGGCCCAGCGCCTGCTCGCTGCTGCCTGGGCGGGCCCGTCTTTCTGCCCTGCCTAGGGCCAGTCGGCTCTCCAGGCCGTCCTTTTTTGGTCCTGATGTGTGCCGTGGCGGGTTTTTCCCCCGCCTGCAGGCCTTCTCTCCCCGCCGTAGGGGGCATGAGTAAACGTGGCGGACAGAGCGTGGAGCTCAAGAAAAAAGATTGGAGCTTGGGGGGTCGGTTTACGGAGGCGCCCCGTCGAAGGGGGGGGTCCGGGATATTAAGTCGCATTTGGAGGGGGGTCCGTTTATTATTATTATTATTATTATGATTATTATTATTATTATTATTTTATTATTATCATTATTATTATTATTATTAGTATTATGATTATTATTATTATTAATGCGGGGGGTCGATGTATCAGGGGTTTGGAGTAGTAAAGATTGGTGACCTCCCCAAGGGCACCCTTGCATCCTAGCCTCCTCGGTCCATGCTTGGCCACTTTCGTCGGCCGTGCTCCATTCGAAAAGCTTCGAAATGGGCGTACAGGGCCCTTGCATCCTTATCGTGCATCCTTGTGATGCGGGCCGACTGCACACCGCATCGCTCTGGGCCTCCTAGATGGGGTCGGAGTAGATGGGGTCGGAGGATCGCGTCGCATCGCCGATGCGGCTCGATGCGGAACCCGATTTGCTTCATGTCGACGTCGCCGATGTATCGCCCACGTCGCCGGTGCATCGCCGACGCATCGCCGATGCATCGCCGATGTATCGGCGACGCGGCGCGGCATCCACTCGGACCCCTTCTGGGAGGCCTCTACTATACAGCACGTCGCTAGGTTGGCCAAGACCCAGGCCGGAGCTTCGATTCGGGATCGGCTGGGCCCAGATCCGGGCCCAGGCTTGTTGAGGGTGAGACAAGAATCGGGGAGGGGATAACAAGCCTTGCGACGGATCTCCCCCGTCACCACCCCCCTAGCTCCTCAACGCGAGCCCATCCCCCCAAACTCGCCCGGACAGCGCGCGCCTAACCCCCCTTCGACCCCAAGGGGGGTGCGAGTATCATCCCACCTGGAGTAGGCTCAGGTCAGGGTTCGGCTCGGGATCGGGGCTCGGGCTCGGCCTCCGGATTCGAGCTCGAATTCGAGTTCGAGTTCGAGTTCGGGATGGTCCAGCATCCCACGGGCAGGAAAGCAGGTGTGTGTGTGCGTGTGTACACCGAGGCGTTTGACCGACGAGACGACTTGGTGCAAACTTGAAGCCCATCCCGGTGGAGACTGTCACGTCTGCCCCTGAACGCCCAATCCTCGCCGATCGAGGCCCCAGGTGTCGCACCCGCCCAGGAATGTCGGCTTCCCATATTGAGGGCCTACCGGCGATGTGTCGCCGACGTGTTTCCTCCCCTGATCCAGGGCGCGCTTTTCCTTCCCGCAAAGAGAGGGAGGCAAGGGCCACACCGGGGACGCGCATCGGTTAATTCAGGTGGTTCCCTTCAGCGGGATTCTGAGAAGAAGAAGAATTACGATGGAAAACAAGAAAGTAAAACAAATATTATTACTTCAAAAAAGTATTAATTATAATATTGCAACTGAAAGTATTAATAATACTGCAACTGATAATGATAATACTAATACTAATACTGATGATAATAATACTAATCATCATAATGGTGTTCTAATACTAATCACAAAAAATATAACACGAATCACAATACTAAGAATAATACTAATAATAATAATAATGATCATAATAATAATAATAATAATAGTAAGAAAAAGAGAAGAAGACGAATATGAAGAGGACACGGACTACGCGCAAACTTTCGGCGGTCCGCGCAGATGCCTTGGGGCGGCGGTGAAGCCGCCTTGCCGGCGCCTCCAGCCCCGCCTCTCGCGTGCGGAGTGCAGCGCCGAGCCAAGAGGTCCATGCGGACCCCCGACCGTTTGTGTGTGGGCAGCTCTTTTCCAGGCAGCACCTCGTGCTTTCTCGCTGCGAGGTGACTTGTGCGTGTGGCGTTATGCTGCTGAGAGCGCTGTGCCCGGCGTCCCGCAAGCGTCAGAGGGCTGCTGCGTTCGTGGTTCATCACCCACCAAACCACCACAACCTGACCCGAAGGCCCAACATTACCCTCTATTTCCAGGGGTGGGGGGGTCGGGGAACATTGGCAAAAAACATTTGGAACCCGTACCCCCCCCCAAGCCGAAATATTTAATCGCTTCGCTCATTCCGCTGGCCCTCGAGCGCTCTATGGGGCCTCTTTGAAGCCTCTTGGGGGCCTTTTTGGGCCCTCCTAGGGGCCTCTTGGGGGCCTCTTGGGGGTCTCTTGGGGCTCCTTGGCGGCGTCTTGGGGCCCCCTTGGGCCTCTTGGGGGGCTCTTGGGAGCCTCTTGGGGCGGGGTAGTCGAGTGCACCCCCCTCGGAGGCCACAATCCTCGTGAGGGGTTCGAAAAAAGGCCCTCAAAACCATCTCTGAGTAGACTTTCCCGGGCTGCGGTCGGGGTACTTTTCGCCGGGGGACCCCCAGGGGCCGCCCCGCGCGCGCGAACTAGAAGAATTGTTAACCAGTTACTGGAGATCTTAGCACGCCTCTGGCCCGTTGGGCCGGCGAATTTGGGTCTTCGGGTCAGGAGGATGCCGTGGTCTGGTGGGCAGTCAGTGGTGCCCTGGGTTGCCTCCCGAGCGGTCGGGGCATGGATGTCGGGGCCCGGGGCTCCGAGCTCTCCTCCGCGGCCGTGCGCGTGCTGATCCCCCTCCCCCTCCTCCTCCTCCTCCTCCTCCTCCTCCTCCTCCTCCTCCTCCTCCTCCTCCTCCTCCTCCTCCTCCCTCCTCCTCCTCTCCTGGCCCCCCTCCTCCTCATGGCCCTCCTCCTCCTCCTCCTCCTCCTCCTCCTCCTCCTCCTCCTGATCCCCCTCCAGCGCGCCCGAGAGGCGGTGCAGCTGGCGGCCGGCCAGGGCGAGGGCGTGGTGGGCGAGGGCGCCACGGAGCGGTGGCAGCTGCGCGGCATCGGGAGCGGCTGCTCCAACTGGGCGTCGGCGATGTTCGGCGAGGTCGCTGCGCCGACGCCGACGACGGCGACCTCCTCCCTCCCTCCCTCCTCCTCCTCCTCCTACCTTCTCCCTCCTACCTCCTCCCCCCCTCCGCCCTCCTCCTCCCTCCTCCCTCCTCCTCCCTCCTCCCTCCCTCCCCCTCCTCCCTCCCTCCTCCCTCCTTCCTCCTCCTCCGCCTCCCCCTCCTCCTCTTTGTGTATGTTGGACCGACATTAGGTGCTAGCCGGTTGCGTCTGTCCTCCTCCTCCTCCTCCTCCTCCCGCGCTCCCTCCTCCTCTTCCTCCTCCTCCGCCCAAGCCCCCCCAATCAGAGCTTTCCAGAGAGCTGCATGGTCGATCGGTCGATCGAGATTCTCCCTGCCAGCGGCCAGGGGCCTGAGCCAGTTGCTGTCGTGCGCGGGGTCGTTCACGGCATTTGGCTTCAGACGCCTGCGATGTCTGAGCATGTTGGTATTGCGTTACGCGGGCATGTGGCACATAGACCAGCTGTTTTCGGTGTAGATTGCACATTGGCACTTACAGTCACACATCAGACTCTGCACCAGCAGTTGAAGGCGTCGATCAAGCTTGCGGGAGCAAGGAAATTCGTTCACATCCTCCAAAGGACGGGGTGGGTCCAACAGGCGAGGCACGTTAAAACCCATCGATCTAAGTGGGTGAATGACACCTTGCCGCAGCTTGAGAAAGAGAGATAGAGTTTGTTGTTGCCAACGCTGTCGTCGATCACCATACGAAGATAGCCGTGCAGAGTCACGCGACTGGACCCACGCCCAGTCAAATTACGGCCCCTGGTTTCGACGCAAGCTGCATTGGCACCAGTGCATCGACAGCGAGGCGGGATGGCGCGGATCCCAGCCCGTGTCCGGAAACTTGTTCGGGGACTCCAGGGGTACCTCGACGTCGCGGCGGGCCCGGCTCGAGAGGCTGGCGCGGATGCGGGAGGCAGCGTCTGTGCGAAGCAAGCTCGGAGGTGTCTCGAGCGCGGCGGCTGTCCTCGGGGCAGCGCCACTCGCTTGGCCAGCCCGTGCCGGCCTCCAGGTCCCAAGAGAGCCGTGACGGGGCTCGCCGGTTCTTCTTCTTCCAGGGGCAGCCGCCCAACCGTCGGGGCGAGGAGCTCCCGGGTCGTTCCAAGTCTCTCCACGGGCCTGCCCCCAGTCCGTCGGAGAGTCAGGGGGGGGGGAAAAAGCACACAGATCGGGGGAGCGTAAGACCCGGGTTTGCCGGGACTCGGGTTCGCCATCGTTTTTTGACGACCGCGACTCGGATTTTGACGAGGAGGAGTTTCGTGGGATGTCTGCAGCGGGAGGCCTCGTCAAAATGCAGGCTCGGCCTCGTCATTTTTTTGACGACCTCGTCGGGGATTTCCGAGTCCCCCGTACCCCGGTCTTACGTCTCCCCGAACAGACACAATTAGTCGTCGATTCCCCAGAAAAGATCTGGAAAATATGGGGAGTGGGGGGGGAGACGGAAACCCAGAGAATGTGGGAAAAGATTGGGCATCTGGTTATTTGCGTCCATGAATTTGTGTGTCCCACTTCTCCTTCAGAGATGGCGGGCCCTTCGGCATGTTCGGCGATCGCAGCCCTGCCGGAGGCCACTAGCACGTTTTCCGGACTCGGGGGCAGCCCCCCCTCACGATTAGCGCGCGGCCGCTCTCGTGAAGACAATTCGCTTCACGAGTCGCCAGAGACAAGTCAGGCCAGCCACAACTGGGGGAGCTGTGGTCCTTACCCCCCTGGGGGGCCCATCGATTTCGACACCCCTCTCGAGAGATCGTCGATGCGATGGGTTCCCCCAGGGGGGTAAGGACCACAGCTCCCCCAGTTGTGGCTGGTCGGCAAGTAACCCGGTGCATGCGCGGAAACCTTTGTGATGTGCTGTCACCCATCCGGCAGTCCGCTCCGCCCCACCGCCCCCCCCCGGCCATCAAGTCTCCCCCAGTGGGAGAGCCAGGCGATGAATTTCGAAATGCGTTACAAGCCGATATCGAGACCATCACGAATGAATTGAAGGATCTTCGGCCTCTTGCAGTGGCGCACCACCGTGCCAGTCAGGACCCGTGCAAAACCAAATCGTCGTGAGAGCAGCTGGCCATGGAGATCGTTGAGCAGCAGGAGCACCTCAATAAGTTGCAGGACAGCTCCGTAAAAATGAAAAAGGTACGGTGAGACTAAGAAAGCAGAGGTGGCAACTCTGCAGGACGAGGCCAGTCGGCATGCCAAGTCAGTAGTCGGATGGGGCGACGACGCCAGGGCCCTGGCACTGGCTACACCTGTGGCACAAGTTGATTTCCCAACGTCGAGCCTTACGAAGTCGACGACCCGGCCTCAACATGTTCATCGGCGTTGCGGTCTGGCCAAGCTGCGTGAGCTGCTCTCGGCGAGCGTCGCAGTCCCTGCTGATGCTCGCGCAGATGGACCGATGGATGTGGGGCGACGGGATCTCTACATATCCACTGCCATGGGCGAGGATCGACGTGTACGCCGTCCTGGCTTGGCCGGGGATGCATGTGCACCGCTCCTGGGCCCAGCATGGGCCAGGCCTCGGGCAGTGGATGTGTATAGGTTTCGTTCCCCTAGGATGAGAGTGGGGGCGATGGCAACACTCCTGACGGCGGCAAGCCTCGGAAGGGCAGGTCAAGCAAGCCCGATCCGAGCCACGCGCGCGTCCTCGAAGGCAGGGGGGCCACAGCAGAGCAGCAGGCCCCGCGCGGGCACGGCAGGGCAGCCTCGTCACAAGAGTGCACCGCAGAGGTTCGCGAGCTCGGGAGGAGGCCACTCAGGAGGGAAAGAAACACACAGACACAATTTCATCGCCGACTCCCAGGAAAATATGCAAAACTATGGGAAGTGGGGGGGAAGACAAAAACCCAGAAAATGTAGGAAAACATGGGGGATACTTTTATTTGTGTGTATTTCTTTGTGTCCTGGGGCCCCTTCAGCCACGGCTTGGGCGATGGCGCCGAGGCGGCCGTCATCAGACTTAGCAGCGGCATGGCTCGTGCTTCAGCTCCAGCTGCAGGCGCCCACGTGACTCTTACATTCAGCGCCAGCGGTGGAAGGTCGCCACCCAAGAGTTGTCACAACTGAATGCATCGTTGGAATTCAGGCAACTGGTTCCACTGAAAACAACTTGGAATCACTACACAGCTGGGCCGACAACAGTCAGGGCTCCGAATCATAGGTGATGGGGGCAGCCAGGGGTAGCTACAGATTCGCGCCTAGGTGGCCGACAACCAGAGTTATCCCAGACCGCAGTTATCCCGGATAATTCAGGCGTCCAAAATTTGCTGAATCATTTGAGGTTGGCGCAGTCGAGGGCAATTGAAGATTCGCGCCTCGGGGGCCCAAACGGGAGTTCCCCAGACCGCAGCTATCCCGGACAATCCGGGCGTCCAAAACAGAGGATGGACAGCTTTTGCGGTGCCAGTGCGCCCTACGACGGCATCCGCTTAATCGGGCGGACTGGCCGTCTCGGTTCGATCTGAGTTAGGCTTCCGACATCCCGCAAACGGTCTAAAGGTCTTCGGCGACAGGCTGCAGAACGTGCTGATTCATATGCAAGGATGGTCATGTCTCACCATCTTCACCGCTTACTTAGGGCCAGCACCAGTGTTGAGAATCTTGAAGTACTGGCAGCAGCTGGAAGGATCATGTCCCGCAGAAGTTCATCATGCATAACTGGTAGTGGTTGGAACATGGCAAGGCAACACATGGAAGAGTCCGAGTTTCCGAGGCTATTGTCGGTTGCGTGGGTGATCTTTGATCGAGTCACATTCCGAGGTGGGACAGGCTGTTCTGCAATACGTGATGTTTCCTCGACGATTCAGCGCTCAGGGGCATCGAGGAGTGCGGGTGACGCGAGAAGGCTCATCGTCTTCGTCGACAACGGCTACACCATCCAGCGCGTGATTTGCTCCGTCACGACGAGGCCCCCATCGAAGCCCCCTCCAGGTCCGCCCACGAAGCGGGCCAATTGGTCCATCCATGCTGCCTCCTCCTCCTCCTCCTCCTGCTCCTCCTCCTCCTCCTCCTCCTCCTCCTCCTCCTCCTCCTCCTCCTCATCCTCCGCCCCATCCTCCCTCCTCCCTCCTTCTCCCTCCTCCTCCCTCCTCCCTCCTCCTCCCTCCCCCTCCCCCTCCCCCAGTGACCCAGCAATGATACCGGGTTTTGATTCCACAGTATGGCAAGCTTCCCGAATCTGTTGCGGATGCTGTTGCCTGGGACGCCGGCGTTGACTTGTACGTTTTGGAGCATGCGGCAGGAGCCACGAGCCCCGATCGGTGAATGCCGAGTAGGACCTGATGCGAGACAGTGACGTCCAAGCAGCTTCCGAGCTGGTCGCTCTAGGGGGCAACACGGCTGGCATTCGTGGAAGCCGGGTGGGTCGCTTTTTGTGCGCCAGGTGTTTGGTGGCGGCGGAAGGATCGCTAGATTCGGCGCCGCTCGACGGTTGCAAAGAGGCCCCAGTATCCTGAGCAGGTTGCTCTCGAAGCCTCGCGGTGTCTCCCTCGTCGCCGTGGCTGGTCTGGCTTGAGAGAATGTTGATGGCTCTTCGGTGCGCAACGTTCGGCAGCTGACCGTTGTTGTCTTTCTTAAATGTGGAGGTTTGTCTCGGTCCCGCATCGAGAAGCTAGGCCGCCCCGGAGCTGTGGGGTCCCCCATTTCGTAAAATCAAAGGGGTCCTTGGCATGGTGCGTCGTGGTGGGTGTTCTAATCGGCGTGCGCAGGCCTTGCAGGATAAGGCTGTTCCCTTTGCTCGGCTTCGCCGTGGCCCGCCTGAACCCCCAGGGGCTTCGGCCCCCACCGTGGTGAGAACGAGTCGTTCGGCTTCGGGGGCGCCCGCCGATCCTATGAACAGCGAGCGTTTGTTCTGGCTGTGCGAATTCGATTGAAGGAGAGCTCGCGGGACGCTCAATCCAAGGGATGGTTGTGCTGGTGATCTACGAGCCTTTTCTGGTTCCTCCTTCGTCACCACTGTTTTTTTCCAGTATGCAGCTGA